CCGCCATATTTCTATCATTTGAGGGCTACTCAATTCCCTTTTCTCCAGAAGGATGAGAATCTTCTATTGTAGCATCATTAGTACTATAGTATAATCAGGGTAGATGTATTCCCTATATTAATTGTATTTATTATTATTAGAGTATGTGAGTATATGTATGTTTGTATGGTAGGGAGAAAAGGAGGGAGGGAGAAGAGAGAGAGAGAACACAGCATGCCAACATAAATCAGAGGAAAACTTTTAGGAGTTGGTTCCTTCCTTCCACTGTGGGTTCTAGCAACTGAACTCATGTCGGGTTCGCACAGCAAGCATCTTTACCTACTAAGCCATCTCACTAGCCCATCATTCCTTAATCTTGCCTTCTTTTATGTTTCAGTTTCCATTGACCTCATTAAACAGCAATGACCCAGAAACACACACATTCTTTAATACATACTTATATGCAAAATGTGAACAGTGTCAATCATAAGGGCTTCACTTTATAAAATATATAATTTAAAAGAATGAGTAGTGTGCACAAATATTAAACAAAAAAATTGAATAAAAATTAAAGCATGCTAAGTCATTTTAAAGTTCTCATCTGGTAAAGTATTTGTTTATGGAAAAATAACTGAGATATAATCAGATTTTGAATGCATATATTCTGTGACTATATCGATATATATCTATAGATAGATAGATAGATAGATAGATAGATCTTATAGACAGCATAACTGGTAATGGATTACTTGCATCCCCAAATAATATTTTCTAGGTTCTGTGTATTGCAACATAACCAAGCAGATGCAAATACATTATTCAAGTGTTTATTTCTGAGTCATTATATTAGGTCAAAATTTATAGCCATAGCAAAAAAACAACAGCTCTAGGAAAAAATGTAGATGCTTAGTATGTTTTCACTTTCTCACTCAAACTATATATTTTATATAAAATATAAACATGTATGTAAGTAACTATAATTTTATATAAAATATAAGCAATAAAATTATTATTACATGGAATATCTAGATACATGAGTAAATTTAAATTGCACCAAAGAGAATTGGTGATGAAATCCAAATGTACAATGTGATTTCTTATACATCTTCCATGAAAGCAGAATCTGGATGTTCAAAGTGATACTGGAGTTGAGTCCTCACTCAAGGCTGCTGTCCACAAAGTAGGAGCAGGAATGAAGAACCACAACAGCATGTCCTGAGTCTGGAGCAGGTGCTTAGAGCTGGTGCTCAATAGACAGCGGGAACAAATGATGGACAAGCAGTGCACAGTGTGAGAAGGGGATCTGCTTGTAGAGCTCAGGGAGAACCAGGGAGGGCATCACACTCAGGACTGGGAGGAGAAAGGGATGCCAGGCTGAAGCAGCAGTATGACTGAAATATGATAACACAAAACAGGCAGGTAACTTCTAAAAAGTATGTGGCTGGACATGGCATCATCTACAATGCAGAGAGAAACAGAAAAGGGTATGAAGATAACAAGGAGCGAGGAGGTAGGGGAGGAAAGCAGAGGCCAGAGAGAATGCTGAGGAAGCAGGCGTGCATTCTGCAGGCTGTGCTCTGGGAATTGCTGTACTCTTATCAGTAAGCAGCTTGGGGACCCAGCCTTACTGCCAAGTCTCTACAAACCATATGCCTGTGCTATTGTTACTCCACTCCAAAAATCTCATACAAGTTGTTTGTAAGCTGAGGTAAAGGCGAACACATGTGAACAGAAGTTGTAACATTTCACACTCATGTCTCAGGAACTGCCTGTGATGCGTTAGGGATGGGGCTCCTGGCTGAGGCACTGATGTTTCCTGGAATGGTGGACATTGAACAAAGTGGAAAACAGGTTGTATGAGAGGCAGGGGGAGTAGAGAGGGTTCCTCCTGTGTTTCAGGTGCCCAGCTAATGAGGGGCTGGAGTGCTAGGTGACATCAGGGATGAGAAAGACATGTTAGTTTGTTCTCCTTCGAGATGCAGAGGAGGCGGGACTGTGACTGCATGAGTGAGCCAGTGGGGAAGAGATGAGAACCAGACTGTCTAGGACACACACAACTGTGCAAAGAGAAAAAGGTGACTTTGCCCTGGAGAAGACAGACTGTGGGAGGAGGACAGAAACGTAAAATCTGAAGACACAACTTTAAAGCAGTCATGAAACCTTAGACCTTCAGGACCAACAAGGTGGTGTTGCTACAGCTGTGGGAGAAGGCCCTGCAGAGGGCAGGGCCAAGTGATCACTATCTGATCAAGGGTAGATCCCAGGACTTGCAGAGGAAGGGGTGGCTAGAGTCACCACTGATTAGAGATGAACACCATGAGACCAGGAGAAATACATGGTGAAAAGGAAGGAAGGGAAGTGCCAGGCTTCAGGTCAGACACTCAAGGAGCCTAAAGGCCACCACTACATCTAACAGCAAGAGCTGAACACATGGAACAGCAGCATCCAGGTTATACAGCAAACCACCTCCCTAAAACTGGAGAGACAGGTAGAGAGCCACAACTCCCTAGTCTTGTATAGTACCCCACACTTGCATGAGTTTACTTCTAGGAGCCCTACAGTTCCCAAAGTTAAGATGGAGAAAAATGCCTCCTGCTAGTAGTGGAAGAAGAAAAGGAACCATCCTGAAATGTTGCCAAAAGGTTCTGCTCTTACTGTGGCCTGCTCTCAAAAGAAACTACTTAACCAAAACCCAAATGAAGAGCAGGGAGCTGTGGGATAGAAATGATGTTGAAATACCCAAACCAAGCACTATTCAGCCTCGGGACTCATCCCAACAGGAAGGGAGAGGCTGGGAGACATTGTGGAGGTCACCCAAGGACACAAGCCACTCACAGACTTCAAGTTCAGCTGTTGTTAATCAATGCCCTCACCAGGGGCCCAAAGCAGCGAAGTGCCCAATCTTGAGCTGGAACCAGCTGAGATGTTAGCTGAACAGTATTTTTCTCTTCATAGGCTAACGGCCTCTGATGGTTTGCTGTAGTAAGGAGACAGAGTGTCATGATCCATTTGCAGTAGAGGTGTGCTTGGAGTTCATCACAGTCATGAGATAAGCATGCCCTAACTGGTGGCTGGTGCCTGCTTATCTCAGACCTCTGAGAGCAAGAGAGTAACAAGCAGTCTGCAATGTGACTGAGTCCTCATCAGAACAGGGGCAGTCTTAAACCCTAAATTACTCAACAGATATGGCATTTTGTCCTAAATGAGTAAGATGGGCAATCTGGGGAGGAAGACAAGTTCTAGTCTACAGGAGAGGCCAGGGATTTCCGCATGGGAGATGGCTTTAGAAACCATCATCACGCCAGCTACTTCTGCCTTTTCTCTATGCTAGTTCCCTTTCTGCAGAATGGAATATTAAAAACTGCTTCCTTTCACTGTCTTTTCAATTTGTTATTATTTATCTGCAACAGTTGTAAGAAGAGACAAAGCAACCCCAGAACCTGTCTCAGATACTGTTGGGGTATGCACATGAAGAGACAGGGCTATGAAACAATTGTGATTAACATCTTAAGGGCTCTAGAAGAAAAAGTAGAGAATGTCACAAGAACAGATGGCTAATGTATGCAGACAGAAAGAACTTCAGAATCAAAAGAATATGGAAGAAACTAAAAACATTGTGACAGAAATAAAGAATGCCTTGAAAGGAAGGGCTCACAGACTTAGAATCGCTGAGAAAGAATCACTGATCTAGATGTAATATCGATAGAAGCTTTTCAAACCTGAATGTCAGGGCATGGGGTGTACTCTGGAAGCCCAGGCAGGGGGAGTACAAGTTGTGGGAGTGAGACTCTGACTTAGGGGGAAAACAAAACAGAAATACAGAGAGAGAAAAGAATGAAAAATGGATAAGACTATCCAAGATTTGCAGGATAACTACAAAGTTGTGAAGTGTAAATAATGAGAACAATAGAAGAAAAAATTTGTCACAATCACTGGCAAGTTTCCAAATGAAAACCAACACTAGCCAGCGATGGTACATGTCATGTCCCCTTCCCCCAACCAAAGGCTGGGGCAAGAAGACATAAGTTCCAGGGCATTATGGACCACACAGTGACGTGTCTCAATAACAACACAAACCTAAACAATGTAGCAAACAAAAAACCACCAGGCACCAAAACAGAGAAATAGAAAGAGCAGAGAACAACAATGGGTATAACCATCTCCTACCAAATTTATTGTAGCATAGTTAACTATAGAAAAATCAAAGGCAACTCTTTAAAAAAAAAAAAAAAAACAGTGGAAAAATCACCTTTACTACAGAGAAAAGGGATAAGAACCATGTAGTTAGAAAACACGGATGGAAATACTAAAATGTCAACAGAAAAAAAAAATCACTAACCAAGAACTCTATATTGAATAAAGTTATCCTTCAAAACTAGAGAAACAAAGGATTTTTCAGACAAACAGAAATTATGGACATTTGTCTCCTGAAGGTAGGCCACATGATAGCTCACCCTGAAAACATGAAAGCCTAGCAGAGAGACTGGCAGGGCTACGCTAGACCACCAAGATTAGAGAGAACAAACCTCCAGCATAGAGATGCCTGCTGGGGAGAAGTTCACAAGGACAGAAACAGGAGAGGACCACAAGCTCTCCAGGACCTGAGGGAGGGGCTTAAGATGAGGGATGTCACAAAAGGTGTGCAGGCAAACAGGAATTGATCAAAAGGAAGACACTGACTATGATCAAGTCAGAATCACTGGCGAAACTGGACCTGTAGTGGTCTGACATTACCGCACTCCATCATGGTGCTCTAAAATCTACAGGGCACTTTCTCTTATTCCTTACCTAATTCCATAACACACAGGGAACAAGAATTACACCTGAGGAAACAAAGGCCCAAAGATGCTGGTGACAAAAGAAAGAAGAGCCCTGTCTTAGTGACTGTTGTACTGTTATGAAGAGACACCATGACCAAGGCAACTTATAAAAGAAAGCATTTGACTATGGGCTTGCTTACAGTTTCAGAGGGCTAGTCCATGATCATCATTCTGGGGAGTGTGGTAGCAGGCAGACAGGCAGTAGCAGAGAGCTTTCATCTGACCTGCAGCCAGGGTGAACTGGGCCTGGCGTGGGCTTTTGAAATTTCAAAGCCCACAACCCAGTGACTCACCTCCTCTAACAAGACCACACCTCCTAATCCTTCCTAAACAATTCCACCAACTAGGGATCACACATTCAAATATATCAGATTATGGGGGCCATTCTCATTCAAACCACCAAAAACCCTAAGCTTGAAATTAGAACATGGGTTCCTTCTGGTTGTGTACTTTGGGCTTCTGGGGTCTTGACTTTCACACCAGGAAAATAGGAAACACTTCCTAGGCTCCAATGTGAGTAAAGAGCGGCTTCTTGGGGGAAAGCCAGGACCAACACACTGCTACCACGATCACTGCCACACAGAAAAGAAAGCCATTGGTGGATTTCACTTTCCTCAAAGCTTGCTAACTATAAGAAGAAATGCAACATGGCCAAAGAACAGATTACATATTACTAATAGAAAACACTCATTTGTGTGCTGTGTCCCAGAAAACGAGGCCTTGAGAGGAATGATGGAGATCAGAGAGAGGCATACACTGGAGCCTCCAAAACTAGAAGCAAAACCCAACCTTTCCTCCTGAGATGCCAACTGTCTCAGTGTCTTCTTAAAATAACAGAAACCTGAATACACACACCATCAAGAAACACTTACTGTGGACTAGGTACAGGTAACAAATTAACATTACATAATAATGTAATGAGATGTCCATGTCCTTCAAAGATATAAGCATGTGAGTGCACAAACAGAATCTAAGAATGACCTGAAGGTAAGTAGAGAATGCAGTGGGACAAGGAAGGAAGGACAAAAGACAAAAAAGCAAAATAGAAATCAAAGGGGGCAGAAGAAACAAACCCAGCACAACCGATGCTCAATGGCCCCCAGAGGTGAACATCTGGCAGCTGTTTACATTGTTCCTTTTCTGTTTATTTTGAAACTTTTCATAATTTCATAATAAAAGTTCATATGAAAAAATTTTAAAGTACCAAGGTCATTATGTCTCTGTCAATAAAAATAAGATTTCACACACTAAACAGAAGTTCATCTGTGATAGTTCAATGTTTTCTGTGTAATTTTATGTAAAACACACTTATTTTATTATGTGACTACTTCTGAGATTTTTGAGGCTTAGCATGGAGTAGATAATAGGAAACTACCCCTTCTGAAAACATCTTGATACGAAGCAGCACCAGCACACACCCAGGTCATTGGAGCTGGCTGTTATCAGGAAAAGAGACAACGCCTGCCAAGGCATGAAGAGCAAAACCCAAGCGCTGACAGCGCAGATTAAACAGCTCTAGAAAACGGCCCCTGAGGGGTCAGGGCAGGGATGGAGCCAACGTTTCCTAATGAACATCTTTCTACCACTGTTCTGATGTTTTAAGCCACATAAATGCACTGCCATTCCAAAATAAATTTTAATTTCAAATAAAACTATTTCAGATACTTTTCCTATCTCTTCAAACTTGAAAGACCTAATTTCTGGGAAGACCCTACCTAACTGAAACAGCAAACAGCAGCTGCTCCTTGAGATTAAGCCACAGTCCTTCATTCACTGCTGTCTCCACACATCACTCCTGGGCAGTCCTGACACGCGCTAATTCTCCGCCTACTTCTAAACACGTTGGTTTTCTTCTTTAGGCAACTAAATGAGAAACTAAACACAAACAGGTCTGAAGTCTTAACATAATGCAAAAAAAACGGCCCCTGTGCTGAGCTTAAAGAAAAGCTGGCTGCAAAGAAAGTCGCGTCTGCTCTCCACTCCATGTAAACCACACACATGTGTCCAAAGTGGATGACTTAAACAAGGCTTTCCACCTCTTCATTGTCCCATCTCCTAACCTCAAATCCAAACAAACCACAGTGTACTCTTCCTTTCTCATCCATTACCTGTACCTCTGTGCCTTTCTTTACCCACACTGTTGAGACTTCAGCCCGAGCTCAACCCTGTGTAAAACAGATGGCATGAGGACAGACACCACCACATAAATTCTTCTGAGAAACTTCCACATCCTTTCCTGTTTCTTTCGCTGAGTTAACAGTCAGACAAACAAGCCAGAGCTCCTCTGCTCCCAGGCAGGTACCACTGTTCCCAGCATAGCTGGGCTGGAAAACTGGTCAAGCATGTATACCCCAAACCCCTAAAGGCCACACTGTATTAAACAAATCTGCTGGACTGCCGGGCAGTGGTGGTGACTTTAATCCCAGCACTCGGGAGACAAAGGCAGGTAGATCTCTGAGTTCAGGGCCAGCCTGGTCTACAGATTGAGTTCCAAGACAGCCAGGGCTACACAGAGAGAACCTGTCTCGAAAAACAAAATAAAATAAATGTGCTGGATTAAAACAAGAGCCATTTAGGGTTGGCAAAATTGTTCAGCAGGTATAAACACTTGCCATGAGTTCAATCACCAGGAGAGAAATGACTCCTTCAAGTTGTCCTCTCACCTACACATGTGCCATGGCGTGTGCATGAACACACTCAAATATATATGAAAGCATACTTAAATGTAAAAACTCTGAATGCCATTCAAACATTATGCCATTGTCTTCCCCAAATTCTCATTGTATGATTTCTTTTATTTGGTGCTGACATGGGCTTGAAGAGCTAACAAAGAATTCATGCTTCCTGAAAACTCTGTGTGTGTGTGTGTGTGTGTGTGTGTGAAAACTGTGTGTGTGTGTGTGTGTGTGTGTGTGTGTGTGTGTGTGTGTTCGTTCCTCGGAACTTTAAAGTAGGGATAGCAGTCTGGCAGGATGGCCCAGTGAGTGCAGGTGCCTGTTGCCAGGTCTGATGTCCTGAGTTCAATCCCCAGGACACACACAGTAGACAGAACTGACTCCTGCAAGCTGTCGTCTAACCACGCATGCTGTGTATGCCCTTCCCCACATACACACATGCAAATAAATGAATAAATTAATAAATAAATGTGGGTTTTTTTAATGGAGCTAGCAAGAAACAATTACATGTATGAGACAGCAGTGCCCAGAGAATTAAGGACAGGCACAAGCCACACAAGTACTGGCCTGCAGAGGATCAAATCAAGACCCTGTGAATGAGACTGCCATCAGATAGAGATGTGTCTCGGGGAAGGCAGCTGTGTGATGAGAGCACCTGAGAAGCTGTATCACTAATGTGCAAAGTGCTCAGAACATTAACTCCCGACTCCCTTCCCGCAGGGGTCTTTCTGGGAAGCCTTACCTCTCTGCACGAATCACACCACTGTAGTAGGGTGGGTCCCAAGGCATTAGTTCCTGAAAGGGAATGGTTCACTGTAAGCAAAGATATTGACTATCTCATTATTTTTATCAGAAACTTGGTCAGCTTATACTAGATAGACCAGTTATTTTTAACATATATGAGAAAAAAACATTTAAAAACCATACCATGGCACAATTTGACTTCTCTGTAACCAATACACAGAGGGGCACAAATAAGGCATAACCCTAGGATCTGGGGCAAATGTAAATGACATTCTAAAGTGTAATCAACAAATGCCAACATTAGTGGGTTAAATCAGCCAGAATCCAAGTTTTCTCAAATCATAGCCCAGATATGAATTCATACTCTACAAAAATGAGATAAGCATGCTTTCGGACACTTAATAAGAAGGTTGCGTTAGGATACAGCCCCAAAATTAAAGCAATAATTTAAAATGTAACTAAGGCAGAATCAACTCCAGTTTCAGCAAAGAAACTTTGTCTTAAGGAGATAGTACAAGAACAGAGCATGGCAGTTTAGGCTTACAATCCCAGCCCTTGGGGCAGGACCCCAAGTTTGAGGCCCTGAGCTAAAAAGCCAAATCCTACCTCAAAACAAAACAAAAGAAAAAATAGAAGCAATAGCAGTTCTGTGGCAGCCAGTCCAGGAGGTTGAGAGCAAGCCTGACCACTTGAGTGGGAAGGAAAGTCTTACCCACTGGGGTCAAATTACCAGACTGCAGCTGCATGAGGGTGAGCACCCTGCCTGTGTGTCCTTCCTCAGTGGGCCTGCCTCTGCAGAGCCTGCTGCATGGTGGCCACTCACTGAGTCACAGCACCTCCCACACAGGCACAGCACCTGGCTCTGAGGAAGGGCTCAGCATGCCAGCTGTCCTGTGGCCCTCACCCTTCAAAGATGCAGCTCAGCACAGTCCCAAGGAAGGAGGTGCTCCCTCCAACACGCACAATGGCACTTTGGGCACAGCATGTGTGACAATGCCAGAGTCCAGACTCATGGCCTCTCTCTCATGAACGCCTGGATGGCATTTCTGAACCTTCACCTCCTGGAGCTCAGTTCCCAGCTCCCAGCTCATAACTATGCACCATCTGTAGATGGCAGAGTGGGGTTCCTACCACAGACATAAGCAGACATCAGCCTCAGCAGAGATGATGGTGTAGGAAGGCAAAGTGACTTAACAAGAGAGCAGTGTACCACATGATGGGGACGGGAGGAGAGCTCAGTAGTAAAGTGCTTGCTGAACAAGAATGAGGACCTGAATTCAATTCCCAGAACATACGTAAAACTGAGTATGGTAGTGCATGCTTCTAGCCCCCGTGGGAAAGAGAAGTCAGGAAGATGCCTAAGGCTCACTGGCTGGCCAGCCAGCTAGGCAGAATCACTGAGCAACCCTATCTCAAAAAATAAAATGAACAGTTCATAAAAAATGACATGTGAGGTTGACTCTGGCTTCCACATACATGCACATGCCTCTTCCATATAACTCACTCAAAACCATGACCCATGACAAGGGTATTTTTTAAAACAAACAAAAGAGAATACACAAAATGTATTATATGCCTAAGGCACAAGCATCAACTCAAAGAAGTTTTTAATCAAAGTGTGGGTTCAGGGCTGTTTGGGAAGAAAACAAGCCCAAAGTGGGTTCTGAGAGATGGCAGCGGTTAATCGAGGTGAGAAAGGAGAGGCCTTCCTGTAGCACTGACGGTGACGGGAAGCTCCCTACCACAGCATATTTAAATGACTGGCACATAATGACCAGCAAGAGTTGAAGAACAAAAGAAAGCGAAGTGGAAGTGAGTAAGGAAAGCCATGCCACCCCGGGTACAGAAGAGAACAGCACTGCAGCTGCATGCTGAGGCGGGCCAGACCCTCAGTGACTGGGGGAAAGATGCAAAGAACTGCAATGACAGGAGCAGCAGTCAGTGAAGGATTTTAAACAAAGTGACGAGACCAGATCTGTGCTGCAGGGGACTCTCCCTGATGGCAATCTAGTCACTTATTGATTCATTCACTCAAAGTACCTGCTCTGGGTCCACACTGGGCTGGGCACATGGCTAAGCATTCTGAATCCACCAGTACTGTGGTGGTTTGAAAGAAAATGGCCCCAAAGAGACTGGCACTATTAGGTATGGCATTGCTGGAGTAGGTGTGGTCTTGTTGGAGGAAGTGTGTCACTGTGGAAGCAAGCTTTGAGGTCTCATATATGCTCAAGCCATGCCCAGTGGGACAGACGACTTCCTGTTACCTGAATCAAGAGGTAAGGACTCTCAGCTCCAGCACCATGTGCCTGCATGCCACCATGTCTCACCATGATGATAATGGACTAAACTTCTGAAAATGTAAGCAACCCCAAATTAAATGTATTCCTTTATAAGAGTTACCATGGTCATGGTGTCTCTTCACAGCAATAGAAACCCTACCTAAAACAAGTATGTTTTTTAGGGGAGTAGGAACTTAAAGCTAGGAAGCCAGTTAAGCAACTCCAACTAGGTGAAAACTGTAACAAGCTAGCCAAGGCTGTGCCATAGGCATGGGAAGAGGAGGATAGGGTTGAGGTCAGCTGCAGGAACAATAGGCGTGGGAACCACCTTCAGGGCACAATGGAACTCAAGAACAGGCCTCCACCCAGATGTTTACATTGGTGTGTGGGGATAAATTCCCTGGTGATGGTATTGCTTCAGGTCAGGAACTGCACTTCAAGAACCAGTGATAAGTGCAGCTTCTAGCTAGAGCAACAGGGTAAGCAGAGGCACCACTGACCAGAACGGAGCCTCATGAGAGGATCAGGCCTTCACCAACATTTGCACAGCTACCTGCATTCACCAGTCATACAAAAATGTTGGGAGGGAAGGTAAAGGTACCTCAGCTTTGACTGAATTAACTTTCTGAGACATGTTTTTAATTTTTTAATCCACCCAACTAAATTCTGATCTGTACCTGATATCCTATGTGGATGTGCCTAACACTGCAAAGGGTGTAGGTGACTGACACTAGTAATCAGACCAGATACAGCTAACAGCAAGGTCCCAGATAGGCATGCTACTCTAATCCTATCCAGTCCAGCAGGGTACTATTTATTTCTTAGTGGGTGGGTCCGAGAAACTGGAAGTTTTCAAATCTACAAGGCTCTTTTCTTCTTCTTCTTCTTCTTCTTCTTCTTCTTCTTCTTCTTCTTCTTCTTCTTCTTCTCCTTCTTCTTCTCCTTTTTTAAGATTTATTTATTATGTTTACAGTGTTCTGTCTGCATGTGCCCTGCAGGCCAGAAGAGGACACCAGGTCTCATTACGGATGGTTGTGAGCCACCATGTGGTTGCTGGGAATTGAACTCAGGACCTCTAGAAGAGCAGTCAGTGCTCTTAACCTCTGAGCCATCTCTCCAGCCACTTTTTTTTTTCCCCCTTCCCTTGCAACTTTGGAAGGCCCTTTTCTTTATATTTCCGGTGCCTACAGCTCTCACAGGTTCTATCAAATCAAGAATCATCAACAATAGCACCTACAAGAGATTGGTGTAGACAACCATAGAAAGCCTGTGGTAATCCTTTGAGCCACATGGGAACAAGGATCCTAATGTCTGCAATCCCATCACTTCATAACATCCCAAGTACCTGGGCATCATTCTGGTCACAAAGACACTGGGTCTATATTATGACATCACATGACCTTACAACTGAAAACAACACATACTATGTAATAGTATATTAACACTCCAATCCTGTGTCATAACTTAGTTCAAAGGCTCTTGGTCATCTGTCTCTTCCACAAAATATCACACTGACCCACTATGTTGATGAGATTCTGCTAATTAGTCCAAGTGAGCAGGAGGTAGCAACCACTTTGGACTTGTTACTAATGCATATTCACATTAGAGGATGGGAAATAAACCCAACCCAAATTCAAAGGCTTCAGTGACATTCTTAGGAGCCCAATGATGTGGGGCATGCAGAGATATTCCTTCCAAGGTGAAGGATAATTACTGTGCATGACCCCTCATACCACCAAGAAAGAAGCACAAAGCTAGTGGGCCTATTTGGATTCTGGAGACAACACATTCTTCACCTGGCTATGTTACTCTGGTCCATATACCAAGTGACTCAAAAATCGGCTAGCTTTGAGTGGGGCCTGGAGAAGGCTCTTTGACAGGTCCAAGCCAATGTGCAGGCAGCTCTGCTACTTGGCCCATATGATCCAGTAAGTACTGGAGGTATAAGATTAAGTACTGGAGGTATAAACTACAAGATTAACACTGAGGTTCAAATTGTCACCTGCTACATCAAGTCTCCATTTAGCTACATCAAAGGCTACCTTGAAATGGGAAGCTGACTTTCTGAAGAACTGCTTCATAAATACATTTTCTGTTAATATACATTCATAAATGTATATACACACCAACTGATAAAAATGCTGGTTTCCTATCATAACCTCAAATTCAGACCTATATATCAAATATTTTAATACCAAATTCACTGAGACCAAGCATTAAAAAGACTATAAGGACTTCCAAAAAATCCTAAGGAAATCCTAGAATCAGCAATATGTACCCACTCATGTAATAGTGGCATGACTATTATGGGAGTAACCAAATGCTTTCTTATTGGACTTGAGGCCATGGCACAGGAGCTCATGTCTGGTATTGTAAACCTAATTAGAAACCATGGCTGCAGAAGTCACAGGCCCTATGGCAGAACCTACTATGGTTACTTTGCTAAACAGAAACAATATCAAACTTCATTCTACACATTATGTTTATACCCATAGACTAGTACTGCTCTCAGCCTTTATCAGAAGCCTCTGTTTACAGCAGCTGATAATTATTACTACAGAAACTCATACATGGTCAAAGTGTTGCGAATAAGTGATTGTTGAATGTTTAGCCTCAAATGGGACATCTATACCACCCCTTCTCCAAGGCTTGGACATTGTGAAAGAGGACTGGCTGGAAAAACTAAGAGCTACATGAAGGGAAGGATGCTGTAAACCTCTATCTTCTGGACATGACTGGTTGTTGTGCCCACGAACTCAGAGCAACAGTGGCTTCCTGTACAAGACCTGCCCAAGACTGGGCTGGTTCATATTCCTTCATATTGATAAGGGATGACTGAGGGGCCAATAAGGCCTCACCTCTCCCTATAGAGCTACAAGCAATTAATGGTTGCTGGGGGAGGGAAGGAGTCATACTCCCCTGGTAAGTTGTCCTTGCTGAAGTAAATAAATAACCCACCACCCATGCTCATATAAGCACCCTAGTCAAATGCAGTGAAACACACACACACACACACACACACACACACACACACACTCCATAGACATGAGGAAAGGAAGAGGTTTTATGGGAAGGGATAAGAGACTTATGGGGAAAGGAAAAATGATCAAATTACTTATACATATGTATGAAACTGTAAAGAACAAATTTACAATTAAAACATTTAAACTTAAAATTGAAAAATAAAGTTCTAGAATCAAGAGATAATGCTTTTAGTAGAAATAGTGTTTATATCATTTGAAAAAATTCAACATAGATTCAACTTACAGAATTTTGAGGATTTAGTTTCATTTTCATTCCTCTCATCATCTCAAAATCTTTTGCAGTTCTGCAAAACAAGTCTATGATTACTTAAGAAAAAATTTTAGTAATTGCAATAAGAGTAAACTTTATAACCTTTCCAACAGTCATGAATTAATAAAACTATATATGTCTTTTACTACAAAAAGCAAACTGTGATTAATCCAACTTCTACTAAATTGTCGTATAAGACTACATAGATCATAAAGTCAATTCAAATTCTACCATATCCACAACGTGATGCACGCCTTGAGAGTACTAAAGCTTGGGAAGCAGAAGCAAGTGAAGATTAAACAGAAGACTCTAAATTAGCACCCCAAATGCAGGAGACTGACAAGTTCCTCTCTATAGAACATCCATACAGATTATAGTTACAACTGCTATTCACCACTTTTCCCTACAGAAAAACTCTGGGCAATAACAGGAGGTGTTACTAGAATTAAAACATATATTCATATACACATACACACACATATAAAACTACAAACTTATGAAGGCACACTTGCTAAAAATACAATCTATAGCTACACATAAATGAAGAATCCTTCAAGCAAAAGCAAGTAACTAAGAAACTTCAAATCAACATTCCCTCTTCATTGTAATGGAGACACTGGCTCACTGGTATTAAAAGATTTTAGAAGAGATAAACACAGCCAAATTAAAAAGGGATTCAAAAGCAGAAGTTTAAAAATCCCAAACAGATGGGACTGGCGAAATGGCTCTGGGGTTAAGAGCATGTATGACTCTTTCAGAGGACTTGGATCCAGTTCCCAGTACCCAATAGCTGCTCACAACTTTCTGTAACCTCAGTCCCAGGAGATCTGATGCTCTCTTCTGACCTCCACAAACATCAGCATGCACTCAGTACAAACACATACATGCAGATAAAACACTCAGCACATAAAATAAACCTTTTTTAAAGTTCCAAACAGAAATCTGAGCACACACAATGAGTTCCTATGGTCAAAATGGCTTGCGAGGCAGGTAAGAGGCCACCTTTGCCTGGGTCCCCAAACCATGTTATACCTCTTCCTGAAACCCTGGATATAACAGGGCAAGGAGGCCTTCCCTTCTCAAAGTGCTAGAAGAGAGCCCACTAAGGGTAAGGACTGGAGGTAAGGGACTGGAAGGAAGGGCAGAGACAGCAGCAAGGGACCACCACTGGGTGTGGGGCAGAAAGGGGACATAGCTAGCATTACAAACACCAAAGCAGAGAATCCTTAAAACAAAAACCCCAAACCCAGAAGACCCACTGCACCCAAGGGCTCCTGCATTTTGCCCCCAAAGAGACATGCTACTTTATAAGTTTGTTATAATTAGTGACACAGTTTAAAACAAATGGTTTCAAGAACATCTTGGAAAGGTGAGTAAATACATATGAATGAGGGGTTGTTAAAGAAAGTGGGTCGACCAGGAGAACTAGTTGAGTGGTTGAAACTGTTATCATAGGGAGGCTGCTTTCAGTGTCTTCTCTAGGCAACAACCTCCTGCCAACAGATCTGACTAACATGTAAGTTTACATTCTTAGTAAATTACTTCTTAATTTTTAAAACAAACGTAAGTGCAGAAAGTGGGGAGACACATGAGAAGGTGCACAAGTGTGCAGAGCAGAGTTCGGATCCCCAGGACCCATGTGCATGCCAGGAGGGCATTTAAGAAGAGGAGATGAGGCATCCCTGGAGCAAGCTGGTAGCTTGACTACCTGAACTGGCAAGCCTGAGTGCCAGTGAGAGAACGTGTTTCAATGTACAAGATAAAGTGACAGAGGAGGGCACCCGCCAACAACCTGAAGCCTCCGCATGCACATGGATGTGCATACATACAAACACACATGTACTCACACAACACTCACAAGCTGACTGCACAACTCAAATAGAAAACAGTATACCAACTAACCTTTCAGAGAGTTTGTCAGATAGTTTTTCAAGGAACTGCATGACAGTCTCTAAAGATAAAATACAAAAGAAAATATTTTCAATTATGTGAAATAACATGGACATACATGTTAAAATTGTAGTGTGGGGGTCATCACACATCTAGTCTCCCCTAAAGTGATGATTTTCAGAGGTAGGCAGAGTAGCCTCCATATGCTTGGGATTATTTCTACACACTGGATATCTCCTGTGGAAAACAAATTAAACTTACAGAGTACTAATCCAAAGCCTTGGATTACAACCAATGTTAGGAGCATTAATGGAAAGCAAAAGGAAAAAAAATCCAAAATTCCCATTCAAATGCATGTAAAAGAAGTGTCACAGATATGTCTAATTGTCCCCAAGTTTCAGGATGGCTAGATGCTGGCTTGATTCTAAAAATCAGTGTATACCAGTAATCTCAGCACACAGAACACTGCAACAGAAGTCAAAGCCAGCCCAGTCCAGCTCCAAAGGGAGACCTTGTCTAAAAATTGCTCAACATCCCTAGCCATCAGGGGAATGAAAATCTACACTGAAATTCCAACCCCACTCTAATCAGAATGACTGTTACTGGAAAAACAAACACAAAAAAAACCAACAGATTCTAGCAAGGATGGGCAGGGAAAAGTCCCTGTTCACTGCTAGTGGTAATGTAATATACAGTTACTCTACAAATCGGCAGTGGAGGGAGGGCACAAAACCTAAAAGAACCACCTTAAGGTCCAGCCACACCAGCCTTGTGTGGGTATTTGAATGGGAATCAGTCAGTGTATCGCAGCAATGAACACCCGCTCACAGCAGCCCAATTACAGAAACATTCTAGATGTTCATCCACAGATGAAACAATGAAGAAATGTCCCCGTGTGTGTGAGTGTGTGTGTGTGTGTGGTGTGTGTGTGTGTGTGTGTGTGTGTGTGTGAGAGAGAGAGAGAGAGAGAGGGAGGGGAAGGGAGGGAGAGAGAGGGAGCTCTACTCAGCCATAAATAAATTACGTCACTTTTAGGAAACTGGATGGAACTGGAGATTGTCATTTAAAAAATTTAACTTATTCTTTGGGAATTTTACACACATATTTTGATCATAGCCAAGAGTAAGGGGACTCACATTAGAGGAGAGGGGAAGGAGAGAATAATGGGGAGTGAATAGAGTCAAAGTTCATGACATATTTAAACAAAAATGAGATTCTGAAACCCGTCATCTTATATAATATACACTAATAAAAATATAAATAATATCAGTACAGTTTAGAAAAATTGTTTACCAAAAACCCAACTTTAAAAAGCAAAGTTTCTCTGGGTCACTTTTGTTATTTACAACCAACTGTAAATAACCTACTCAGTATCAACAACAAGCAGAACTACACAAGGTCTTGGACTTTGGTGTGAACTGCAGCTCGTCAGCCAGAGTCAGCACAAGTGAGGCCCCATGAGGACAAGAGCGAGAACCCCATCATTCCCATGGAAAGTGTCCCATGGTGTCTTCTGCCCCCAAACTCCAGGCAATGCTTTTATGTGTGTTTCTGTCAGCCACAAACATCGCCTTTATTTTTTCCAGATGATCTTTTCTATGGGTTTAATTTCTTGCCCTCTCTTTAAGCTATCTCCTTTCGGAGTGAAATGAAACACTAGGCAGGGAATGGGGTTAGCACAAACCACAGCCACAGTTCCTTGCCCCTGTCATCTTCACAAAGCCTCATACTCAGTGTGGTGTGCCAAGTTCATGCGTCAGAAACTGAAGGGAGACAAAAGCCTACATTTGAAGCTCTTCCCATCATCCTCGCTACCACAGACAACAGTTCCAAGTCAGTCTCTGTGCATGCAGCTGACTCCACATAGACATGCTTTATTTGGTTGTTCACTGTTTTCCTGGCGATACACAAAGAATCTGGAAACAATATACCTAAAAGACTGACTATGAAGAGATGATGAAATCAGTGAAGTCTTCACCATGTGAGCATGAGTATCTGTTTTCAGCCTCCAAAACCCACAAAGAAAAAAACAAACAGGTGTAGCAGCACTTGCCTGCAACCCCAACACTGGGAAAGTGGACACATGAGGTTCCCTGGGGCTTGCTGGCCAGATAATGCAACCCAGTTGGTACAGTCTAGGTGCAGGGAGAGATCATGTCTCAAAAAACAAGGTAGAAAGCAACTGAGGAAGGTACCCAAACATCTACCCCAGACCCCCCCCCCACACACACACACACACAAACACACCACTGAATGTGAAACTCCCTAAAATTAAACCCAATGCTCGCTCACTACATGGTTGCTCTAATTTGGCCACCAAATGGATGGCCAGTGTAACCTCATTTCCTCTCCTTCTGCCCTGCTCTCTGTGGAAACTCAGCATTCCTTCACCTTTCTGAAACTCACAAAGCATCTAATCAGTTGAAAAACACCCACTTGCTAAAACTTCACAGCACTGTTGTCTGTATTAATCATTTGGCAGCAAGCTTTAGATTCTCAAGGACACAGGTCACATCTCATGTGACTGTGTATAGCAGCCTCTCTCCAAAATCATCACTATACCAACCACTTGCTTGCCACTGATAGGATCCAGTGGCCTTCTGTGAGTCTAGTGAACTCTAAGGAGCCTGGGCCAATGACCTGCCACAGCATCCACGTCAGGAATTCCCTCTGCCCTCCTTAGGCCTCTCCTAGTGGCTTCCAGCAGACACACTCTGCTTCCTTTTCTTCTTACCTACTGTCCCACTACTTCCTCACAGCCTGGACTCAGAGCAGCCCAGAGCCAGCCCTTGGCCTTCCATTCCTCACAGTGTTCTCCATCCGTGATCTCATACAGCCCCAAGCCTTTAAGTGAATATTGCAACTTGGTTATCTCAGAGCCTTCAGCCCACATCCATATAAGTACAGTGATCACTTTCAAGACAACAGCATCTTGACCTTATCTTGAACCAAAACAGGCTCCTGATGCCACTATGTTGACTTACTGTCTTTTTAGCTGCTCAGGGTAAAGCTCTTCCTTCAAAACACCATGTATCTAGAAGCTGGTGCCCACAGACCAGCTGCTCTTGCATCCTGGTCAAAATGCCATCATTTTCCTCATGAGTGTCACAAAAGAGCTTCCAAATGAGCTCCCCTCCCCTCATCCTATTATAGCCATCTTGCCATCAGTAGCACCTACCATTACAGTGCAAGTCAGATCACTTTCCTTGTCTGACCACACCTTGAAAAGCCCTCATCTCACCCAGGGCAGGGTCCTTCATGTAGCCATCAACATATCATTAAGCTCCCACTCTGCCTTTCCTCAGAAATGTCTGGCACATTTCTACCTTGAGACCTTGGTACATGGTTTCATCTTCTTCCAGGGGACTAAAGATTCATTCTGGCAATCTGCCAGGCCTACCCTGGAGCATGCCATATCTTCCATGTGCATCACATTCTACACAAGTCTCCCTGGCAAAGGCACACTTAATGCTATGCCCCATCTCTGCTCCATCTTTCCACAGCAATACTAACTGCATGAAGGAGCCATTCTCTTCCCCCTGCAACACTGACTTGTTCCTAGGGCCCACACCAGTACCTGCTAGAGTGGCAGCTCAGAAAGACCTCCTGGTTCCAGCTATGAAAATCAAGATGCTTCAGAGGTATGTACAGATTCCTGCTATGCCATGTTTTAGCAATACTCCTGTGGAGGTTTGAAGGAAAATGTCTCCCCAAAGGGAGTGACACTATTAGGAAATATGACTCTGTTGGAGTAGGTGTGCCCTTGTTGGAAGTAGTGTGTCACTGTGGGGTTGGGCTTTGAGGTCTCCTTTGCTCAAGCTACACTCAGTGGGGTAGACAGTTCATTTCTTGTTGCCCATGGATTAAGATGCAGAACTCTCAGCACCTTCTCCAGCACCGTGACTGCCTACATGCTTCCATGTTCTACCATGATGACAACAAGACTCAACCTCTGAAACTGTAAGCCACCTCAATTAAATGTTTCCCTTTATAAGAAGTGTCGTGGTCATGGTGTCTCTTCCCAGCATAGGAATCCTAACTAAGACAACCTCTAACCTTATATTCCTTCTGTGACTCATAAACCAAAACCTACTTCCCAGGGCTGGTGAGGAGTTAAATGGCAAATAATGATACAGTAACAGCAATATTCTAAAAACATTATATAGTATAAAAGTAAAAATACTGTATTTTAACCTCACTGATATTAACAATAACTATAGAACGACATAAAATAAAACTGAGCATTGCAGCACACTCCTGCAATCTAGCACTAGGCAAGTGATGGAGACAGGAGGATCAGGAGTTCAGGGTCATCCTCAACACCTTGAATACATGAGTCTCAAAAACAGAAGACAAGAATATACTACACAGTGTCATAGAGTGTCAATTTAGGAATTAAATTTTATGAAACCAGTTTTAAGAGCTGGCTTGAGATGGAGCCTGGATGCATGTTTGAAGCCGTGGGTTGTATAGCGGGCATAAAAAAAATAAAAAATAAAATAAATGCTTTAAAGGTTCAAGGACAAAGTCCAAGGAAAGTAAAATAGTGCAAATTTTTGGAAGTTTATCATGGAAGAGGTGGCTTTGGAGCTCATCCCTGAAAAGCTGCAAATGTGAGCAAGGGCCCCAGGCTAGATGGAGTGTACCAGGTTGAGGGAAGTGGCAGTGTAGGGAGAGTGTGAAAGCTGTAAAGGAACTCTGAGGAATGAAGGAACATGCTGGAAAAGGGGGGCTACACAAGGAAGCAACAAAGGCAGAGGGAAGCCTTGGAACTCCTCCTCACAGAGTCCTCCCAGTGCTCCCTCTTTCAACAACAGCATTGTGAGTGCTCTGCAAGAAAATGCACTGTCATGGTCCCTCCTCCCTCTCCACCAAAGCACACCTACAGTCTAAGCAGCTCCACCCTCTCAGCATCCTGCTGCTGACTCACTGCCTTAATTACCGAATGCTAAAATGTCCAGTAAAGCTCCCCTACATTTCCATTACTTACTGTGCAGGACATTCTCTCCTAGGTACCCTGTGTCATCAGGACCTCAGCCCAACACAAGGCCAGTTTGTGCAATCCCATATCCCCTGTCCACCTAGCACGGACCATCCCCCACAGGACAGTGCATGGCTATAACTTCACCAACCCTGACTCAGGAAAAAATTATCCTTTATCCTTTCAGTCTACTTCCAACTAATCTGAGGACATCGGGCTGAGCTAAAATAAAATTAATTTAAATTAATAACAAGTGAAGACTTAGATTTGACTTGCTCTCATCATATACACACAATACTGGTCAAATTACTAACTCTATTTAAAGATGAGTTCCATTAAAAGATGTCAAAAGTATCAAAAAATGGTACTCTAAATCTATTAAAAAAGACAAGACACCGTTGGATATGGTAGCTCATGTTATAATTTCAGCATCCAAGAAACTCAGAAGATCTTGAGTTCAAAAATAGGCCGGGCTACAAGGCATATGTCTTTTTTTGTTTTGTTTTGTTTTGTTTTCACTTATGGATGTTTAAAATCAGATGTTCCGGGCTGTGAGCATAGTCCCCTGGGGTGGCTCTCCAGCACTGTCATCCACCCATCCCCTCACAAGATAGGAATGCCATTTCCTCAAAATCCTATTTGTTCTTAAAGTTGGATAAATGGGCTTACCTGGAGTCTGAGCTATCGTTCCCTGGAGGGCCCTGTGGGAAAACGTAGAATAACCTACTAAGTTTGCCAGACGATCTCTGCTGCTTAGCAATTCTTCTAAACATTTCAACTGACCAGCATTGGGATAAAGGAAAATTTTATAAGCAGCTTCCCGAACCTGTAGTTAGAGAGTGAGAGTGAAAGAAGAGAAAGTCAAAGATCCAATGTCATGGCTTAAAATCCTCTGCAACAACCACCCAGGCCAGTGTTCCCACATTACTTGGCTTCCTGAGTGAAAGAACAGCCACACCAGGCCTACAGTGCTTTTATGGGGCACAACTGCGCAGGGGGCAGGGCTGGGGAGGTCAATTTGCCAATGCTCCTGTCCCGATGCTAAAAAGCACTTCACACATTAAAAGTAACCATGTGACCTTGAAGGTCACTAGTCATTAACTGTACTCCCAAAATAAATTCCTCGAGAGACATGAATTTTCACTGTTTTTCTTATTCAAAGCATTTGTGAAATTAACTGTGCCACAAGTTAAATTTTCAGGGTTGAGTAATGCAACAAGATTTTTAGGACTATAAAATCATGTCACTAATGATTTGGGGGTTAAGACAGCAGTTATACACGTCCACTGGTGTTCAGAAGGGAGCTGACCAACAAGCAATGGAGGATTCCTACCAAGTCATCTGAGGCTTCCGCATGTAGACCATCAATGACTGTGTAACTCCCATCTCGGGCAAAGTGGCGCCGAACGTGCTCTGGTAAGAGATGATTCTGTATCTTGTTGGGAAAGTTGGTTCCCATGAGAAAAGCACTGCTCAAATCCAGGATCTTGACATTGAGGTCCACTGCTCTTCTGCGCTACAAGTGGGAAGAAAGGTATTTAAAAGCAGTATAAATTAGCTGGGCGTTGGTGGCGCATGCCTTTAACGCCAGCACTCGGGAGGCAGAGGCAGGCAGATCTCTGTGAGTTCGAGGCCAGCCTGGTCTCCAGAGCGAGTGCCAGGATAGGCTCCAAAGCTACACGGAGAAACCCTGTCTCGAAAAACCAAAAAAAAAAAAAAAAAAGGAGCAGTATAAGTTAGCATTTCACAAAGTCTCTATAGTGGTAAGAAATTAACATCTGAATAGGACACTTGAGTGTAATCCTCTGTCCCTCAAAACCTTCATTAAATCAGTCAACAAGTGGGCTGGTTACACCTCTTCGGTGGCACTTTTACAGTATTTCTGAAGTAAGAAAAGTGAAGTATTTGATGAGTAGATTACAAAGATGTAGAATCTTACAAGACTAGACTACAAGGCGAAGGGGAAGGGAAATGTGAAACATAGTTCTGCACAAAACAGTAGTGAACACCCCAGAGGTTCAGCTCAGAGGTTCTGGTTCTCACGCAATGACAGCAACAAAGCCCTTAGCAACAGACTCAAGCAGAGCACAGGACATGTTCTTGCTATGCTAGATCAGGATGCTATGGCAGGAGGACCACTGGCTCAGGGCCACTCAGATCCTGCCTCAAAAATAATAAGAATAGGGCTGGAGATATGGCTCAGAGGTTAAGAGCACTGACTGCTCTTCCAGGGGTCCTGAGTTCAATTCCCAGTAACCACTGCATACATAATAAAGAAATAAATAATCTTTAAAAAAATAGTAAGAATAAATAAATATAAGTAAATAAACAAACAGAACAACAGGCAGAAGCCTGTGTGGGCAGAGCTATATTCCACACTATGTCCCATGGACCAGTTCCTCAGAGCCAAGCACAATGAGACTAGTGCTGGCACCAGCATTCAAGCTTTAGCATGTAGTCACACCTCCAGAGCACAATCTCCATGGAGAGAAGGAATTTCTGTAGGTCCATGGTCAAAGGAGTCACCTTAAAAAAAGAGTTGTTTGTTTGTTTGTTTGTTTTAAGACATTCTCATGCAGCCCAGGCTAGCTACATAGCTGAGGATGACCTTAAGCGTCGGATCCTCTGCCTCCATCTATCCCCAGATCCCAGCCCCACTGAACAATACGATTACAAGCTTTGCACCATCATACTTGTTCTATGCAGCACTGAGGACGGAACCCCGGGCTTCATGCAGGCATGCCAGACAAGCACTCTACCTGGGGAGTCTCATTCCCAGCATGCACCACAAACACTTTAAGACAAAATATAAGGGGCTAGAGAGATGGCTCAGTGGTTAAGAGTACTGCCTGCTCTTCCAGAGGACCCAGGTTCAATTCCCAGCACCCACATGGCAGCTCACAACTGTCTGTAACTCCTGTTACAGTGGACCTGACACCTTCACACCAAGGCACATAAGGTTAAATGAATTATTTTTTAAAAGAGAAGAAGAAATAGAAACTGTACCCCATGTAATCTCCGGGGTCTATTAGAGGACTAGGTAATGCAATTATTCATCAGAAAAACAAGTCAGGCTTCAGACTGGCTTATGGTGGGCTTCGGGTAATCATAATATGCCTTAAAAATTATTAAGCAACACTAGATTTTTTTCAGACACATTTGTGAGATGTATTAGAGAAGAAGCTGAGAAGAACTGGGGTGATGTATCTCAGCTGAGTACTTGTCTACTGTGCACAAAGCCCTGAACTTGGTCCTCAGCACTGCACAAACTGGATGTGTACAATCCCAGAACACAGGGAATGGAAAAGGCAAGATTAGAAGTGCAAAGTCAGCCTCAGCAACACAGCGATTCCAAGCCACACTGGGTTACATGAGACCCTGCCTCAAAAAAAAAAAAAAAAAAAAAAAAAAAAAAAGGCTTAAAAATATACATAAACCAGGTATGGTGATACACATATATAATCCCAGCACCGGGGAATACTGAGACAGGCATTTTCAAAGTCAGCCTGGACTACCCTGCAAGTTTAATGCCATCCCTGGTTATATAACAAGACTCCTGCCTCAAAAAAGAGTAAATGTAAAATAATAACCTAAAGTTTTAATAAACCAAACTTTACTGGGAAATTTGGTTTTCAGCACCTCCAATGTCCTTTTCAGTCCAAACTTCTCTTGCAGCAATGTATTGCCACCTAGTGGTAACCAGTAGAATAACAAAAATGATGAATTACAGCTCTAAAACTTTTCCCAAAGCTTTTTTATGAAAAAAAATAAAGCATACTGTAATAAAATTAGTTATCCCCCAAATTTTATCAAGTGTTACACACTCTGGAAAAATAAAATATATTTCAGTTTATGAATTTAGTGATCTTCCAGGCATATATCATTCATCATTCCAAAACAGTCCACTGTGCAAGGGTCAGGATTCCACACACCCTGTGAAACTAAAGAAACACTTCTGTAGCTACAGTTAAGTTATTTAGGGGAAACCATGGCAGGAAAAGTGCTTGATCCCAGGAGTTCAAAACCAGCTCACATAAGTAGCTGAGGCAGGAGGATCATCACAAGTTCAAGGCCAGTCTGGCCTACAAAATGGATAGAGAGTCTCAAAAAAAAAAAAATTAAGAGACCTGAGAGATAGACAGACAGATGGAGACCTATTTATCAGATATGGCACATAATTGTTTCTTGGTATTGACCAGTGACAAAACACCCTACCTCAGACAGTAATATCAGTCCATCTGAATTTGCAAGGAACCTGTGCACCTCCTTCCATCAACTTTAGAATGTCTCCCAATCAATGTGAAAACCAGGTGAGATCACAAAAGGTATTGTTTAGAAGTCTTCTCTCAGCTCAAGGCAGACACATTCTTTTCCTGAATGTTTTTAATCTGAAGTTGGTTGATCCAGATAGAAGTCTCAGGCACAGGGGTTTGGACGCACATGCCTAAGAATGCCACTCATTTCCCAAGACATTCTGATAAACCAACTTCTCTTCCTAGATAAACGGCTTTGAAGTCACTGCATTTATTAGGATGGCCAGAGCTCTCTTTTAAAATAATAATAATTAGACTGTTGTCAAGCAGTTAGGAGCCACTCTTGATGGTGTCCAGTCACTCCTCTACCCCAATACTGAGAGGCTACCCACACCAGGGACTCAGTTTGGCAGAGCATCATATTCTTAGGACAGCAGAAGCCAGTGTGAGAACTCCTGGCACTAAAGCTGAGAACCTGAGCAAGTTATTTTGCTTCTACATACACAACACAGAGGTGCAGACAATGTGCCAGGCCCTCCAGCCAGAGTGAACACTGTAGGTCGCACTAACACCTCTGCTGTCATAGCAAGCGTGTGGACCCACCAGGCATGTACAGTGGGAATAGACACCTCTGCCAACAGCCCCTCACTCTCCATCTCAGCTTCATTCCATGACACCTAACACTCTAACTGTGTTGCTGCTTCACTCTGGATTATCAGGGCTGATGGGCCAGCTTCCAGAGAGCACTAAATTTAGACACCGTCTACAGAAGGATTTTATGACAAATGCAAAAAGTCCTAAGAGTTTACCCAGTATATCAAGTGATACACAAGGGCTCTGGAAACTAACTGTTAGTAACAACACTGGTCAAAAACAGCTGAAATCCTGGTTTGGTGGCACATGCCTGTAATCTTAGTAGGACATGAAGGCAGGAAAGTCAGGAATTCAAGGCCAGCCTCTGCTACACAGCAAGCTCAAGGCCAACTTGGTCAACATGGAACCCTGTCTTCAAAAAAAAAGAAAAAGAGCTGAGGATGAAGCTCAGCTGGTTTGCCAGCTGAGTGTTTGCCCTGGCATACGCCAGGCCCTGGGTTCATCCTCCAGCCCTGAGCCTGGTGAAAGATCCGAAGTTCAAGTTCATCCTCAACTACATAGCAAGATCAAAGCTAACCTGAACTGCAAAAGATCCAATCTCAAAGCAAACAAACAAACAAATAATGTGCCCTGTATGGTGGCACACACCTTTAATCCTAGCACGAGGGAGGCAGAGTGAGTTTGAGGCCAGCCTAGTCTACACAGCAAGTTTAGGCCAGCTGAGGCTACATAGACCCTGTTTCAAGAAAGAAAAGATGGGGATAGAGAGATGGTTCAAAGGTCAGGAGCACTTGTTGCTCTTACAGAAGACCAGGGATTGGTTCCCAACACCCACATAGTGGTTCACAACCACCTGTAACTGCAGTGCCAGGGGCTCTGAAACCTTCTTCTGACCTCCAAGGCCACACACAGGGTGCACACACATAAATGCAGGCCAACTCATACACTTATGATAAATTTAAAAGCATATTTTAAAAAGATAAGAAAAATATTTACCTTTTCTTCATCTAGATGGATTCCACTTATTTCAAAATCAAACATAAACAGCTCAGCCACTCGCCTAAAAGAAAGTGAGCACAAGTTCGTTAAAACTACAAACAAAAATCAGTCTTTATGTTCAAATCGGGACTTCTGAAATTTACTATAAAAGAACTATTTCAACACAAAGAGATAAGCATAACCACAATTTGTTTATTTATCTGAAACAAGGAGCTTAGTATCTTGAAAACAGGTACAATCCCAGATGACTGAAAGTCTCTACTAGCTTATCATGTAAGAGCTTATTACATGTTAGCTGGGAAAACTAACATCATAATTATTTCAACTCCATCCAAGCCTGAGTAACTAAAAACAGGATCAGTTCACACTTGGACAGCTTCTCAAGGCCCCTGCATGCAGTCTCCATCTTTCTTCCAGCAGCTGGCCAGCACCAGAAGAGGACTTGTGCTTGCTCTTTAGTCTGCCTTCAGGCTTGAAACCAATGACCTACTTTCCTATCAATGACATGTTTGGGGTTTGTTTGTTTGTTTGTTTTTAAGTTGCTTATGTTTCTGGTGGTAGACTAATGGAGTATTTGATATATTCTTCTGGCTCTGACTTTTCAAAATGGATATATTTATTGTCCTGATTACTGTATTATACAATTATGAATTTATTGCTGTTTTTGTTTTATAAGGTAGGATCTTGCTATTCAGCCCAAGCTGGCTTCAAACTTGTGATTCTCCTGCCTCAGTGCTGGGATCATGGCAAGAACCACCACACCTGTTTCATTGGATGCACAGAATTAACATTAAGCGTCTTCCCACCTGCCATCCTCATGGTGCTGGGTCACACTCGGGGACTTGCATGTGCCAGGTAAGTTCTTTAGCAGTGAGCTGTATTCAGCCCAGGATTTAAAATCCTAAAACTTCAGGGGCCTTGCAGGGCATCTGGAAAGCCCCATAGCTCCAGCACTTGGGAAAGAGTCAGGAAGATTACAGGTTTGAGCCATACTGAACTAACAGGAAGTTTTAGAGCCTTTTCTTGTGATAAACAAAGAAACAAACAAATAGTTAACGAAAAAATGAGTGAATGAATGAATGAATTCCATTAACAATTCAGTCGTTGGTATGCTTTCTTAAACAATGCAGAAGAATTCACATACCCCTAACTGGTCTTGTTATCCACCTCACACCATCTCCCTTTCCTAAGCACAGTAAAAACACAAAACTCTCCTTAATCAAAGGTGTCTTAGGCAAAAATATTTCATGGTGTCACTTTATTGTAAAAAGTTATGGGTTTGATTTTTTTCTCAGACTATTCCATCATAAACACTGAATATCTTCTTATATTTAAATATTCTTCAAAAGTATAACTTTGAAATCAATACATTCTCTGATAATTCCACCCATGAAAAAAATACAACTTTTCGTGTTTGTGTTACGTTCTGTTGTACGGGCTAAATATTTTCTATTTTCTACATTCCTATAACTGTTATAATTTTTAAAAACCTATGTGTGGCTGGACATGGTGGTTCACACCTGTCCCCACACTTGAAGAGCAGAGACAGGCGTAAGCAGTTCAAGGGTAGCATGGGTACATGAGACCCTGTCTCAAAATCCAACCAAACAAAAAACTATCAAAAAACAAAACATTGTATGCATTTCTTTACCCCTGTTTGTTTTCTAAATCCCAAGAAATTAAACTGATCAAAAAGTATTCATATTTCAAAACACATTCTCTAACAGGCCTCCCTACAACAGTTTGTAGTTGATTAGAGAACCCATTATTCAAAATTTCTAACAACCATTCCTATGCTGTTTCAACCTGTGTTGACTACTGGGTGTTCCCCACCTTATTCCACTTTTCAATGGTAGCACATCCAATCTGGGGGTACAGTACCAAACAAAACAGTTTACATGAATTATCTATCTAAATGCCCTTTTGACAAAGGGAACTAGGACTCAGCAAACTATTTCGCCAAGAGTCAGCCCTGGAGTGTAATTCTAGAGCCTCGTCTTCCAGCTATCACAAGACCAGTGTTTAACTACAACTAACAGTGCAAATTTAATGGGCATTTATTCCTATTCCTTATCTTGTGAAATGAGACCTTCACAAAGACACATTCCGTTCCCATTTTTGGTATACTCTTCTTCTCTATTTATTCCAAGTAATGTATAAGGTCTCTTACTATGATAAATATATTAACCCTTTGTCATGTAACTGTGTCTCATTTGTATATTCTGACTTTCTATATGGAAAAGTTGGGCCATAAAAAGTTTGTAATTTTTATGTAATCAAATCAATCTTTCCTTTTGGTATAATGACAAGAAAGACCAACCATATCCCAAGAGATCTATGCTTTTATGACTTCTCTCTTTCAAATTATTGATAGATGGCTGATTGATCGGGTTAGGGACTAGATTTTGCACTTGCAGACACTAAGCAATGACTCACTATTGAGTCAGCCCTGGTGTTATTGTCGTTATTGTTTTACTTTTTATTTTCTGACAAGGTCTTGTAAGTTATCAAGGTTGGCCTTGAACTTGCTCTGTAACTCAGCAAACCCTTGAGCTTGGATCTTCCTGCCTTAGCCTCATGAATATCTAGGATTATAATCCAAAAATACCATGTGTAATTTTTTTAAAAAATCCATCTTTAATGAAACAATTCTCTTTTCCCAGAAAGGTCACTGGCCCAGCATCATTTGCTAAAAGCCAGGTTTTCCCCTCTGATGTGAAATGACTCATCACATACTACACAGTTATAACTAGATCTGTCCCTCTGGCTGAAATTTCTCCATTCCTCCATTATCTAGTAGAATATTACAACTTAAGAATAAAGCTTATGTGCACGGTTGCAAAATCTGGTTCAAGACTTTTTGTTACTTTACCAGATTTTTTCCAGCCTAGGCTGGAGTCTTCTTTACAACTTCAAAATCATTCTAAGTACAACAGAAAAGCCTTCTTTAGACACAGACAGGATAGTCATAAACTCACCAGCTAGGAGGTCAAACACCTTCCCAGATGACAAAGCTAGCTCCACTAAGAGCCTGAGCTTCAGGGGTAATGGAGAGAAACAAGACCAGGTCCCTGCACACCTGCTGGCAGGTGAGGTAAGTCCCCAGCACTCATACCCACAGTGTGCCACCGCCTGGAACTCATATCTGAACTGAAAGCAAGGTTCCATTCCCAACTGACCTCCACGAAATAAAGTTTTAGTTGGGGTGGCAAGCCACATATGGAGAAAGACAAACAGATGGAAGCAGGAAGAGGGAAATTAGGTAGTCAAAGAATATGTGTCCCATAAACAAAAAGGATAAATAGGTGAAGAAAAGAATTTCTATGTTATGACACCAATATCATAAGCAAATAAATGATGAGCTCTACTATGCTTACCTTATTATTACATTTCATTTATTTATTTTGCATGCATACATACGTATCAGTATATTTGTGATGCATTCCTGTATGTGTGTGTGTGTGTGTGTGTGTGTGTGTGTGTGTGTGTGTGTGTGTACATGTATACACCTGCCATACATAAGTAGAGAGGTCAGAGAACAACTTCTAGGGTGTCAGTTTTTTCCATCCATCATGTGGATCCCAGGGATTGAACTCAGATCATTGGGCTTACTGACAGATACATTCACCTACTAAGCCTCCCACTGGTCCCACATTTATCTTACAGAAAAATTTAAGCAAAGAAAAATAAGGATCTAAGGTCATACACCAAGTACTTCTGTGTACTGAGTTAGCACCAGACTTCTAGTAATAATGAATAATTGTAACCTAATGAGCCAGAGCTCATCATTTTAAGGATCCTAAAAGCCACCCAGCAAATAAATCAAATTGCTGATATTTCCCTACAATGCTATTATGCAACTATAGACATAGAGATGGTGTGATTATCAGTGATTTGACAGGAGGCTACCAAGATGGTCATTCGTCTTGCAGCAATGAACAAAGCAGACTGAGAAGCAGCCTTGTAGGGCTCAGCCAGTGAGGCAGAGATGGAAGCAAATTACCAAGTCAACAAGTAAGAAGATGCTGCCGGTGACTATGAGTAAGAGGATGGAGCCAGACAGACATGGGGTAAAGACAAGATGTAGTGTGGCTGAGTCTTGGTGAAAGTGTGGGAACCACGGGTACTGAGAGGAACATTCCAACCCAGAGGGCCAGAGGGCTCTCCAGCCTGGCCTGCAGTCAGTCGCAAGGAAACGAATGAATGTTGAGTACCTGGTTTCTGCATCAAGGGAATCCATAAGCTTCTTATCATCTAGTAATTTCTGGAGACTCTGATACAATTCCACATTTGTATTCAACCTAGAAAGACCATGAATGAAAACAAGTGATTTTCTAATCCATTTTTAAAAATTTTACTCTACATCAAGAGAAAGGCACACATACATGCCCAGAGCACAAAACTGGGGAGTAATTTTTTGTATCTTCTCTTGAACCAGAAATAAAAACCATACTAGAAACTTCAATGTAAGAACAGGAAATCCATTAAGCAAAATGCTAAAGGTCCTAACCACCCTGGTAGGCAGCTAGAGCAGAAAGAACAGACAGGACAGAGGCGGGGGTGGCAGCTTCAGACAGGGAGACTGTTTTCCATTAGAATGTGGAGGCAGCCTCTGTTTTTAATAACTAGAAAGAAGCAAGGAGGGAAGGGAGGTTGAGCCAACAGCAAGTTTTCCTTAAGACCTCAGCTCAGTGCCCCGGAACTGGGCTAGCTGTGCTCATGTGGGTTAGAGGAGCAGGCCCACCTGGCCAGGACAGCTCAGGACAGTGTGCAACCAGGGTCTCATATAGCTGATCAACTGTGGCACTATAATCTTAGGCTGCCATGAGGACTGAATTAGATCATAGGTAAATTCCTTACTTACAAACCAGTACAGCCACCTGCTCCAGGTCAAAACTGGGAGCCATGACTTATGCACCAATGCCAGTCCAACTTGCAGCACCACTGTCCTCTCCCTAGATGCCCAATAACCTGCCACCCTCAAGGCCAGTCTTAGGACCAGTCCTAGACTGGAATCCAGTCCCACATAGTGGATCCTGGGAGGGACGAGGAATATCCCTCACAGCATCCAGTCTATGATTCTGAGATTCTTAACTAGGAACTCAGGGATAGGCTATTTATTCACCAGGCCATTCATAATTAAAGAACTGAAAAGACTTGTGAATAAAGAGTTTCTTTTGCCACCTATCTCATGGATCCTCCCAAATGTTAAGAGGACCAAGACAGCATCAAAAGATTCTCAGCAGGACACTCATCTCATCACTTATTCTCTGGCATAGTTCCCGGTATCAGGGGGAAAGCTGGCAGCTGCTGGAGTGTATGTAACTCTCCCACACTGTATAATGATGGAAGAACCTGGGATGAAGTCTATAATTTATATTTGCTGTTCATTCTCAACCGAAACCAATTAAAACCTCTTTCTCCACTCCGAGAAAATGAGTCAGTTCCCCTATGTATCTGAGGTTAGCCTGATTAACTGAAGAAGTTAGCTGTGCTTCCATTAGACAAAAGGGGAAAATGAGTCACCGTGAGTACTCGGAGAAAGCAGGAAGTAAAACTCTAGGCATGGTGATAAAAGATTATTTTAGAGCAGGGCAGTGGTGGCGCATATCTTTAAGCCTAGCAGTCAGGAGGCAGAAGCAGGCAGATCTCTGTAAGTTCAAGGCCAGTCTGGTGTACAGAATGAGTTCCAGGACAGCCAGGGCTACACAGAGAAACCCTGTCTTGAAAACAAAAGTAAACAGCTATTTTCAGGCCCTTTTCAACAAACTGAACTACTTCTCCATGGAGAGGTGAAGATAAAGTCAAACACTACACCCCTTCATTACCAATCATGGTTCTCCATTGGTCTCCTGCTAAACTAAATGCTTGGGCTTAAGACAGGCTGTATCCAAACTCAGCAGGGCACAACTTTCACAGCATCCCAGACAGGAGTTCTAGCCATGCTGACTTCTTTCCCTCACTATTCCTAATAGAAAGTGGTTGTTCTCCCATGGAGTCCCTTGTTTCAGTCCTTCTTGAAGCAAAGGATCATGTGTCCAGATGAGGCAGGGACTGGTTTTATCCTCATAGCATACATCGATGACTATAAAAGTCACGTTTACTGTGCCTAAGTGGGACAACACTGCTCAATGGGACAGAGAGGACCCCTAGGATATGGGGTCTTCCAGGAAGTCTGTCCAACTAGTGAAGCCACCTCCTCTCCAACTTCTGGACTCTGAACTACTCTCCTCTGGCTTGGTCACATACCTGTGCTTCAGAACACAGCACTGTCCACAGTGACTTTAACAATCTCTGGATCATTCATAAAGGCCTTTAAAACACTTCAGATTACCCCTAAACCACTTTGGGGAAATTTGTTTCCTGGTGGCCTCTACCTGCAGCCTTCCTTAGCTCTCTCAGAGAGTGTTGAGACATTCCTAATCCCTACTCAACAAAGTCTGTAAGGTTACTTTGTGTAAATCCGTATTTTGGCTTCCCACCCTGTGGCCCACAGTCATGTATGCAACAGAAATTGGCTCATGCTGGAATCCAGGAATTCCAAATAGCCACAAAGATACTCCAAGGACCTTACTTACTACCCTAGTTTGCTTTCTATTATGAAAATACCATAATCAAGAGAAACTTGGGGAGGAAAGAAGTTGTTTGGCTTACATGGCTCATGTCACAATCCACTGAGGGATGCCAAGGTAGGAAATTGGAGGCAGGAACTGAAACAGAATCCATGGAGGAGTGCTGCTCACACCCCATGGCTTATACAGCCTGTTTTCCTTTTCTCTCTCTCTTTTTTTTTTTAAATGTAACTTTTTTATTGATTCTTTAAGAATTTCATATCATGTACCCCAACCCCACTCACTTCTCAGTCCCTCCATATCTGTCCCTCACCCCTCTAGCATCCCCCCAAAAAGAAAATTTTTTTAAAATATTAATTAAAAGCAACAACAACAACAAAAAACCCACTTTTCTCCTTCTTTCCCACATCTCCAACATCTCTTCATTCATCTTAGTGGCACTGGGAGCAACAGTTACATCACACGATAAGCCCTTTGGTTCACTCAACTTTACTTGCAAATGTTCATTGCAATGGGTTGTTGGTTTGGTTCAAAGGTCCTGGCTTCTGGTACACCCTCAATACTTGACCCTCACTGAAACTCCTCTTGGATATCCTATTGTTGCCCCCAAGTCATAGAGACCCTGGGGCTCCAGCTCTGCAGGACCAATTCCTTTACATGCTCCAGCAGGTCACAGATGGGGTAGATGAACTGGGGTGGACCAACTCAAAGCCCTCGACATGGGTCGGGATGGTAATGCTGTGCTCAGTCCAGGCCACTAGGAGCACACCCCTCAGGCAAGGAGTTAGCCAGCTCTTCTCTCCCCATGCCATGAGGGTCAGCTTTTCCACACCTGTGGGAGGGGGTGGGACCATCTCTCCCGAGTGTAGGGCCAGCTCTTCTGCTGTAGTGGCCAGTGAGGGCCAGGGCCAGCGAAGGGATATGCCAGCACACAGGGACATACGGTAGTATTTGTCTTCATTATTATTGAGGGTAGGCAATTCCTCCATTGAGGGTACCTACAAAAGCCAACCAGCTCACTTACCATCAACAATAATGATGACAAATACTACCATCTGTCCCCATGTGCCTGACAACTTTTAAGCATCTCACATTTACCTCCTTTCATTTTCAGACACAGCAACCCTAAAAGTGAACTCAATCATCCAATTACAGACAAAGGAAGAGAGGGCAGGTGAATAACCCCAGCAGCAGCTGCAGAATGGGGACCTGCCCCAGCCCTCCTGCCCCACCTTCCTGGACTACTAGAGCACACACCTCCTCCCACTGCTCTAGGAGTGACAAGCACTACACACAAAGCCACCCTAGAGTGGAGGAAACATACTTTTCCACCATGGTGCCGATACTTCTGCAGGCCTCTTCTGCAGCCTCTCTGAACGCGGGCTCAGGGTGTCCGATTTTCACAAAGTCTGCCTAACAAAGGCGAAAGACAAAACCAAAAGGGACTTTGATGGGTTACTGGATTCTAAGATCAAGGGTGCAAACCAAGCCAGAATTAGGGTGTGCTACTCCATGAATTTCCTCACTGAATTTGCCTCTACTGAGGCAAAGCAGATTCTTTTCGATTTTTTCTAGATGTTGTGAACTCTGTAGTCCTTGTTTCATTCCAGAGCAGGTATTTTCATAATACCTCCATTTTACAAGCTTCTCTCCTTCAAATGAATTACCAGAAAATCTTTCCTATCCTACAATGCCAATGAGCAGACATCTTGGTCTTGAACATTTTAAAACTTTGGAACTCAAACTGCAGTGTGGCGTTGCCATGTTGACCCAGCTCCAGAGAGCCACTCGGGGGCACATTTTTAAAATGACACCTAATTTCAAACCCAATTTACCACCCTAAGCTGGGGTGGGGGGCCGGTACATTTTCTTTATGGGCCCTTTTATAAGAGGGAAATATGAATTCCTGATCCTCATCTAAAACAGTATACAACCATACTGTTGCTGTTATGCCAACCAGGATAATTTAATCAAGGATTCTTTTTTAAAAATCATATAAAGAATCACATAAAGCAAGCATTCATGTTAATTTCAGTACACTGCAAAAGAAACCTACAAGTCAGTAAGAAAATGCAGGGAAACTATGAAATACTCTACATCTTCTTTACTCTCCATGCATGAGAGAATGACTATATGACCACAACATGAAATAAAACTAACCCAAGGGAGTCTCAGTCATGGTGGAACATATCCAAAATCCCAGCACTCACGGGGTTAAGGCAGAAGGATAAAAAGCACCAGGCCAGCATGTGCTAAATAGTGAGACTCTGTCTTAAAAAGTCAAAACAACCATCACAAGGTAAAATTTCCTAATTTTATTATCAAATAACATTCAATGCAAAAGCATTTTAATCCCTAGTTTGGCACATCTGGTACAACATTGGGTCACCATAAGATCATTACTAAGGCACTCAAAAAATGAGCTGTGTAACATGTATGATTTATTTTATAAATTGCCCTCCTACATGCTACAGAAGTTACAGAAGTTACAAGGTGAAAAATCAAAATGATAGCATATCTCTCTTTATATGAATGTTCCTGCATTTGTGCATGTGCACTACAGCCAAAAGTTGATAGATACCACATCATCTCTTCTTCAATTTCTTCTCTCCCTCGCTTTAGAGACAGTGTCTCTCGCTGAGCCTGGAGCAATCCTCCTGTCTCTACTTCCCTAGTGCTGGGGCATCAGGTGTGCATCACCACACTAGCTCCTTACGCGGTGCTGGGGAGCAAGTCCCGTCCTCACACTAGTGGGACAAAACACTTTACCCTTGCTGACTATACCATCAATGCAGCCCCATTGCATATATGCTATTTGTAAAGGTAAGGAAGAAAACAGTCCTATTTCATAAAAATTAAATGAGAAAAACAAAACAAAATGTTCATTTCCTAACAGCTTATGAAATTCTTACCTTACAATGGTACTGATCCTATCTATGGGCAGGAGAACCTTTAAAATTAATATAGAATTATTACCCAGAAAATTATTTACTTAGAGAATTATACATATAAAAAAACATTATAGTTTGTTTAGGTTTCTTTCATAGATTGCTGTGGTCGTGAGACAGTTTTTCACTATGTGGCCCAGGCTGACCTCAAACTCATGACCTGCCTGCCTCAGGTTCCCAAGTGCTGGCATTTGGGCATGTAACACTGCACCCAACTAGAAAACAGTTTTTAAATGAGACACTGTTACACTTCATAAATAGTTTTAAAGCTCAAAACGTAAGACATGAAGAACAAAATAAAAAATGTACAGGCAAATTCTAGACCATTGCTTAAGGAGAATGCAGACTAAGACAGAATCAGGTGGTCTCCAGAACTAGAATGGCTGTCAAAGTAGATTGTGGACTGTGTGAGACATGCCCACTGCATAGATTTGCATAGAATACAGACAGAATCAGGTGGTCCCCAGAACTAGAGTGGCTGTCAAAGTAGATTGTGGACTGTGTGAGACATACCCACTGCACAGATTTGCCTTTCCAGACATCAATTACTGACGTAGGAAGACGGCAAAGCACAGGACCTCCTAGGCAGGATATGTCCATGATGTCTCCAACACTGATGAAGCAGGTCCCGTGAACAGCACAAAGACCCAGTGAAAGCCAGGGCCCGAACATCACACCTGGGGAAAACCCTTTACAGCAAAACAGTTTAACCATTTTCCTTTAAAAATCTAGGGATACCAGAGAGAATGTATTATCATTTGAAATTTGTTACTGTTCAACTCAAGGGCATGAGAGGAAAGAAATGTCCTATACAATGGAAATGAACAAGAATGGGGATGTATTAGGAAGGCCGAATGGGAGAAGCTGGTCTCAAATGCGTATCTGATCCTAGACATTTTAGGAAAGACAGAACTGAGAGTGACTGTCAAAGTGGGCCAAAGACTGTGCTAGGCACTACAGTCCCAGCACTTGAAAGGCTAGGGGGACTGAATGACTTAAGGCCAGCTTGAACCACGTAGTGAGTTCTAGGACAGTCTAGGCTACACAGTGAGATCCTATCAACACACACACACACATACACACACACACACAGAGAGAGAGAGAGAGAGACAGAGACAGAGAGACAGAGATTATGGTTGCCAAATTGAGGCAGAAGAAGACAGATGGAAGGATTAAATCAGTTAGTCCAGATAGGCTACCAGTGAGGCACTGCCTAATTCTTCTAAAAGCCAATGAAGTCCAGATATTACCTAACTCAGGTAAAGCTCATCCTGGTGACTAGACCAGTGCTGTGTATTCAGCAACCTCAACACTGAATGAACACTGAGAAAAATTCTACATTGGTCAGAACTACATCAGATTCTGAACAATCAACTATTTTGGACTCTGTGTGCCACAAATCACCTTCAGTGATACAAGTAATCAAGTCTGGGCTCTTTTCTGGCAAGATGGCTCAGCAAGTAGAAGTCTGGCTTGCAGGCTAGTGACTTAAGTTTTATCCATGGATTCTACCTACGAGGTGGCAAGAAAGGACAGACTCCTGAGAGCTTTCCTCCACCCTTCACACATGCATCGGTGGCATGCATGTGCCTGCACTCACACACACCCTTGTTTGTGTTTCTAAGTCTCACCAAGTCGGCCACTCTGCACAGGCAATCCGAGAGCTCGTCAAAGATGAGGACAGTCTGTGGCCCTGGGGGCGTGGAACATGCTCGCTCCACAAGCCATTCCGACTTCCTCAAGGCCTCCTTCTGGGCAACATGGAATCCTTCAGCGGTGCTGAGCTCAGGAACTCCAAAAAGACCCTAAAAGTCCAAAACAACATTTCCGATTTATAGCTAAAAGTACAGTTTTGTTTTGCCTGAGAATGACTTCTGCACGAAGCCCTGATTTCAGTTGGTATGTCTAGACTATCCACATCTGTGCTCATGGGAATAGTATCACTCTTTCTCTGATACACTACACAAAACTACACACACACAAAAAAAAATTTGAAATTTAGGTTTTCTTCAAGCCTTCCTTCCTTTTCCAAAGGAGGCAAATGGTCAGTGCTGTGGCCCCACGAGAAAATGGCTGGGAGGACTACATGAAGATTCAAAGGTTTAACAAAACTTAAACAGTGCCTAGCACAAAGACAGCACATAACAGACCTTAATGATGACCATAATCAGCTTACAGCCTTGGTCACATGCTCATTCCTCCCAGGCTTCAATTTTCTTACAGGAGACATTGAGGCTGGCAGTACACATCCGACAGCATGGAAACACATTAAAGCAGTAAGCATGTGTGAAGTGCCAAGGACCGTGTCTCTCACAGAGCAAAGTCTCCACACACAATACCAACCCGGCTACTTCTACAAAACAGAGGACAGCCGACTCACAAGCAGACATCACATACCAAACCCAGTCACTGTCTGAAACTAACACATTGCGCTTTTTTTTTTCTTTTTTCTTTCTCTCGTTCCTTTTTGTTTTGTTTTGTTTTTGTTTGTTTTTCGAGACAGGGTTTCTCTGTGTAGCTTTGGAGCCTGTCCTGAAACTAGCTCTTGTAGACCAGGCTGGTCTCTAACTCACAGAGATTAGAGGTCTGCCTGCCTCTGCCTCCCAAGTGCTGGGATTAAAGGCGTGTGTCACCACCGCCCGGCTGTATTTCAGTATTTTAATAAAGAAAAATGCAACCACTAACCAAATGGGAACAATCATTAAAACAAATCTTTATAAAGCAGTTCAAGCATGAATCCTAGCGCCCTCCAGGAAAGAAGGAGAAAACCGACATTTAATATAACATATGCCCAAGTATGTACTTTGCACAGGTTCTCTCATCTAAATCACACAGCTCTATAGCAAGGAGAAATATGATTTTAAGTTCTTTTTTGTGTTCTGTGACAGTGGCCTGGAACCTCAGTTCCTCCTGTCTAAGCACCAGAAATGCTAAGATTATATGTGGCTGCTACCACATTCAACCAGAGATATGCTTTAAGAGAAGACATTTGGGGTATAAAGACACACAACAGAATTCTGGCACTTCACAAATCCCAGGGCAGCCAGGGATATACAAGCAAGACCCTAGCCTCTAAAAACAAATAAAACGAATGGTTTAGTGGATAAAGGCAGCTGTCACCAAGCATGACAGCCAAGGCTAATGATATAATTTCATTCCCCCAGAAACACATGATGCAGAGAAAAAGCCTACCCCTGGAAGTCCTATTACCTCCATATGTGCACATAGCATACTCATGTGTATACACACATACACATGAACACACACACACACACACACACACACACACACACACACACACACACACGGTGCAGCATGTAGTAAAAATACTTTTTTAAAAATTTCCCAACTTGAAAACCTTCTGTACCTAAAGTCTATGCATAAAAAACAATGCACACGCCTTTAATCCCAGCACTGGGAGGCAGAGGCAGGGGGATCTCTGTGAGTTCAAGGCCAGCCTGGTCTACAGACTCAGTGCCATGACAGGCTCCAAGCTACACAGAGAAACCCTGTCTCGAAAAAACCAAGGGAGGGTTGGTTCAGTGGGTAAAAGCACTCAATTCACAAGCTGAGGACCTGAGTCCAATCACCCAAACCCATGTAGGAAAAGTGATTCAGAGGCCATCTAGATGGCTCAATGGGTAAAAGTGCTTGCCTCCAAGCCTGGAATCTTCAGGTGGAAATACAGAACTGACTCCTGAAAGTTGTCCCCGAACTCCACACACACATACAGGCACCTATACACACAAACAAAAAATGTAATTAAACAATTTGGGAGAAAGGACTGGAGAGATGGTTCAGTGGTTAAGAGTACTCACTGCTCTTGCAGAGGACCTGGGTCCTATTCCCAGCACCCACATGGCAGTTTGCAACCTGTCTATAACTTCAGTTGCAGGGAACCTGACACCCTCTTCTTGCCTCCATGTGCACACATGTGGCACTGCACACATGTGGTATATTTACATACATTTGGGAAAAACACATATAAAATAAATAATTTTAAAGTTGAATTTTGTGGCATGCAACTATAATCCCAGCACTCCCACTCCAAGATAGAAACAAGAAAATAGCCCAGAAGCCCAAGGACCAGACAGAAGAGGGTAAGATAACCTGGAGTATACAGTCCATTAGCAAAAACAAGAGAGACCCAGGCTCCACAAAGTAAAAGGCAGCAAACCCCTAAAAATTGGCCACACTTACACTCATTCACATTCATGCACACACAAAATAAATACTTTTGTAAAAAAAATATGGCTGGAATCAGTTATATCTCATCCACTCAAAACCAAGCTTACCTTTCCCCTCTTTCTGCTTAGTACTAATAGGCAGTTAGTTGTATCACTGACTCCATTAATATCAGCATCATCTACCCTAATGGGTCTTGGAGGGAATTTTATATTAAAAGAACTTACAAATAGACAAAGCTAAACACAGAGATGCTCACACCATGAAATGCAATGCAACTATATTGCAGACTCATCTTTAGAAAGCTGCCCAACAGTGAAAAGCTAAAAGGCAAAAATAACCCTTAACCTTTAGGGCAAAAATTTGCAAATGCAAAATAAAGGGATCCATTGAGCAAACCATTCTCAATCAACCCTGCCTTTCCCTCCTTCATTATCAAGTATCCAAAGCACCACCACAGGCAGAGTGGAAATAGCCAAGCAATTCTGTCTGGTTAAGCAATCAACTGCAAGGCACGGCAGGAAATCTGAATTTTCGCGATAGGGTTCTGTTGTTGCTTTCTCTTTTTGAACACAGGTTCCTGGATAGTTGTAACTCAGGCTAGTCTTAACTCGCTTTGGAGCCAAAACGGACTGCCCTTTGAACCCTCTTGCGTTTGCCCATCAAGAGAGTCTTACAAGCAGGAGCCACCATGCCTGGTTTAACAGGTTGCTTCAAAGCAGCTTGAAATGGACAATTAAGGTGTTTTCAATGGAAGGGTGTCATCAGAAGGCCAAGTGTGACCTCTGAAGCCAGAAGGAAAAAAGCGAACTTGAGCAGGGAAAGGGCTGAGTGGAAAGCCAGTGGGGCAGCAGCCTGGGTGCGCACAGTCAATTTTCAACAAAGAGGCGGAGCCCGCGCTACCCAAACCCATGGCATGCTCACCCGGTGCTCTTCCAACAGCTGCCGCAGGCGACTCTGGGGCTTGACGTTGAAGGCTGCGCCCACCGAGGACCAGCTGGTGCTGACTCCCCGAGCGCGACCCCTGCTGCGCAGGCCGCCACGGCCTGCCGGTCTCCGCAGAGCGGCTCCGGCTCCCAGGCCGTACAGGCTGCGGCCGTACCGCAGCATCCCGGGCACCAGCAGCATCCTCCGGGACCCCGGCTCTGTCACGTTCAGGAAGCGCGCGCCCCGCGTTTCCAAGGCAGCGGCCCACGCCGCGGCACGTGATGCTCGCACCGCCCTGTCGGCTCCGGGCGCATGCCTGGATTTGAACGCCTGACTCTCAAGCAAGAGCGTTGCCCTGACGCCTTCTGAGCAACCGGAGTTTCGTAGCGCCCTCGTGTGTCTGGAGGACGAAACGTGCTGAGTTTGCGTTTCCCTCACAGTGTAACTGGGGCGCAGAGAGAGGTCTTGTTAGGTTTCTTTCTTACAGATGCCAGGAATCAATGTGAGAACTCAGATGAGTTCTTGATGCCTTCTCAAAGGAGACACAGTGACAGCTCGTGAAGGGATCCAAGTAGGCGTGGCTACAGCTTCACCCCTACAGATCCAGGAGAGGATACATGCAGTCGGAATCCAAGGAACCTGTCTGCTCCAAGAGTTTGAAGTCACACCTAGGATTGTGAGCACGCTTTGTCAGCTGTTGTCTGTAACCACGTGAATTAACTATAATCTTCATTTATTTTGGCTTTTGAAACTAGGGACACCGGCTAGAGGTCTTGAGATGATACAGTCTATAGGGTCTTGATCGGATTCGTTGTCTCTGACAGTAGAAAAATTAAAAGGCAGGAAAAGTAAGAACCACCTCATGTAGCAGCAGAGAAATCCCAAGCATCGCAGACAGAATAGCAGTCGATGAAAAGTGCTTACTTGGGTGAGCAAACACACACGCAGCAGACACACAGAGAAAAAGACCCTTTGCCAAGCAGAGGGAGGACTTGGAAAGTGAAAATCCCGTCTATTCTCAAGGGCTGGGGGTTTTAAAGCCTATGAAGGGTTTCCCTCCCCTGATTTAAGATTGTTCAGTTTAAAGAAAGCTTGGGTGGTTGGTTGGCCCAGAACTGTGGTGTGACACGTCCTGACTCAGTCTTGAAGTCGTTCAGCCTATCCATCAGCAGGGGTCCTGCTGGTGGGAGATACAAGCTGAGGGGTTGAGGAAGAAGCTGACCATCTTGGAGATTCACCACTGTCATTACCTAGGCACGGCCCCTCTCCCTATCTGTCTGCCTACCAGAGGGTCTATCTAACTCCTAATCTTTCACCATAATAGCCTAAAATCTAAATTAGGACAGACAGGACCTCCCCAAATATCAATCGGACTGCAGAAATGAGAGGGCACAGGCTGGGAGGGAAGGCATTAGGAAATCGTGAGTGAGTAGCTGGCAAAGAAGGAATGATAGTACAGACATGGGGAGGCTTGGGGAAGTCTCTTGACAGCCCCAGCCTTCTCTAGAGGAATACAGTCACACCGTTGTGTGTCAGGGTGCTGGGCTTTGCCAGGGCAAGAGCTTTTCTTCCTAAGGTGCCGTCATCTCTCCCGAAGGTGACATATCGGGTGGTGGTCATGTCTGCTTTATAAACCTTGGTAGAGAAGAAAAGTTGGAAGGTTTTGTGTGTGGTTTGATTGTTTTGTAGCAGGATCCCGCTTTGTATTCCGGACTGGCCTGGAACTCGCCATGCATCTCAGTCTGACTTCAAACTGTCTATAATCTTGCCTCGGTATCCTAAAAGCTGAGCTCTAGACAGGAGTCACCAGCCCAGAAGAAGGATTTGTTATCAGGAATTTGATTTTTCCTTGAGAGATTGTATCACTATAATTAAAAACCCAGAGGCAGATACTGAGATTCAAGTTTTAAGCTGAAGACCAGAGAAGCAAAGCAGCCAAGCCAGGAGGTCCTCCCTCTACCAAGCTGAGGTGGCAATCCTGTCTCCACAAACCCTCAGAGGCAAAAGCGCTCTCACTTCCTGTCTCCTCCTCCTTATATTCCTTTCTGTGCCCAGCCATATCACTCCTGTCTCCACCTCCCTAGTGCTGGGATTAAAGGCATGATCTCTGTTACTCTTCACTCTTGTGTAGACCAGGGTGGCCTTGAACTCTGAGAGATCCATCTGCCTGTCTCCTGAGTCCTGGGATTAAAGGTATGGGCCACCATTGCCTAGCTTCTACAGCTAACTAGTGTGGCTGGCTTTGCTTTCTGATACGTCAGGAAACCTTTATTAAATCATAAATAATGTATCACCACAAGAGATTTCTGTGGGTAGAGTTGGGGGACAGTGTATAGAAAAGGGATTATGGGGTTGGAGAAATGGCTTAGAGGTTGAGAGCACTGACCGTTCTTCCAGAGTACCTGGGTTCAATTCCCAGCATCCACATGGCAGAGCACAACTGTCTGTAACCCCAAGATCTGACACCCTCACACAAAACTTACAGGCAAAACATCAGTACATAAAAATAAAAATAAATTATCAAAAAGAAAGAAAGGGGTATGGTTATCCCAGCCTTTGGGAGGTAGAGTTGGAAGAATCAAAAATTCAAAATTCACACACACACACACATACATACACACACACACACACACACACACACACAGTGGAAGTAAGAGTAGCTTACAGTGGTGGCAGCAAGACAGGGTAGGTGGGCAGCAGAGAAAGTTTACCGCTGCCTTCACTCCTTTTTCTCTGGTTCTCTGGCTCCCCGCTTATTAGGGTTTATCTGTTATCTGGGTCAGTTAGGAGCAGTTGGAATCAGCAACTTAATCCCTTGTAAACTCTGTTAACCGTTTCCATAAAGTATCCAATTACTTCCCCATGTGATGGGCTTTGTGCTATTCAGTAACAGAGAGCAAAGCTCTCTGCTGGGGACAGGGACACATACAGGGACAGATTCACAAGACAGCCTTCAGGCAGACACAGATTCAGACTCATACAGCAGACAGACAGGGAGGACAGAAGACGCATAGACCATGACAGGGAACAAAGAAGATGCATGGAGGGCTGGAGACATGGCTCAGAGGTTAAGAGCACTGACTGCTCTTCCAGGGGTCCTGAGTTCAATTCCCAGCAACCACATGGTGGCTCACAAGCATCCATTATGAGATTTGGTGCCCTTTCTGACCTGCAGGCAGACACGCAGATAGAACACTGTATGCATAATAAATAAATAAATAAATAAATAAATAAACCAAGCTCTTTTTAAAAACATGCATAGAACATGAGAGGGAAGAAGGAAGACGAATAGAACATGACAGTGGGGACAGAAGAAATATAGAACACAAAGGAGAGAATTCAAATCTGGACTCAATCTGGGTTAAATGGCACCAAAGGTAAGTGCTTTGATGGCTTGCCTTAATGGGACACTGATGCATTGTCGGTGTCTCTGAGTTTATTATTAATATGCTCAAATGACTGAATTTGTAGGATTAGCTTTCCATGTCTACATTTTAGGATCGATACAATAATTGAAGTCACATCCCACCCTCCCTGAGCTAGTTCTGCCGGCACCGAGTCCACCAGCAGAGCCTTCTGTGAGGCCCCAGGGCGGAGTCCTTTGTGTCACAAGCTACTGAAGAGAAGGAAGCCAGTGAATGTGGTATCGTCATCCTCATCTGCAAACAAGCCATTAAACCTCTCTCCCCCTGTCACCTGCATCCACACCTCATCCCCGAGCTTCAGCTCCAGCACAATGCCACCAGAGGCCTGGTCCTCAGAGCTCATGTAACCATCCTTGGTATGCAGGACTTTTACCCCATTTTTGACCAAAGAGACCTGCACATTCCTGGAAAAAACAGTAATGTGGAAGGTGAAGTAGTAGACACCCGCCACATGGCAGGTGAATTTCCCCGTCGCTACGTTGTAATGGTTCAGCTCATTGTACAGGATCTTATCGAATTTAATGGGTGCATCAGGAGGAGGGAACTTGCTGATCACCGTGAGCCCCACCGTGAAAGCACTCTTGGGCAAGATGGGAGCCTCGCCCACTTTCCCTTTCTCTCCTCGATCGCCTTTCCAGCCTCTTATTCCTCTGACTCCTGGCTCCCCCTGGGGGCCCATGGGTCCAGCTTCTCCCTTAGGACCTGGTTTGCCAATGGGTCCCACTGGGCCAGGTAAGCCCTTGGGACCCAAAGGTCCAGTATTGCCCATCAGTCCTTCTGGACCAGTGGGGCCCACATCGCCTTTATCTCCCTTCTGCCCCTGAGGGCCAGTCTCTCCTGGCAGCCCTTGCTCTCCTGTAGGACCAATGGATCCCTTTGGACCATGCTTCCCTGGGGGTCCTCTGGAGCCCGGATCACCTTTGATGCCTTTTGCTTCAACCCTTCCATCTGCTCCTAATAGAGAAAGATAACAAAGACATGGTTTAGGATACATTCCCTTGTGCTCAATGTCGGACTTTCTATCACTAAGATCTGTTCAGAGTCTGAAAATTCACAAACTCCTAAATTGCATGCTGGGAAATGTACATGTAAGCACACACACAAACCAACTTTTTATCTAAAGAAAAAAAAAAAAAGACAGGGTCTCATGGAGTCCAGGATGGCTTCAAATTCACTACAGCCAAGAATGACTGGATGGTCTTGAACTTCTAGTCCTCCTGCCTGCAATTCCTGTGTGCTAGGACTATAGCTGCATTTGACCATTCCCAGTTGATGCAGTGCCAGGAATAGAACCCAGGGCTTCATGCATGCTAAACAAACACTCTGCCAACTGAGCCACATCCCCAGCCTCCAAAAGTATGCTTTAGTCACTACCTAGGCTCATATGAGTAATGACAACTGTGCCACCAAATTATCCCATGTTGACCCAGACACAAGGACACCTTGGGAGAAGCGCACATCACTGAAGGAAAGCATGACAAGGAGCAGATCAATCCAGGCTGCTGAATTACAGGACCTTGGTCCTAGGCAAGTGGCAGCCCCTCAAGGAATGGTCCTGTTATCAGATGTTCATGTGGCCCACATGTCTGCTGTCTGTGACATCCTGGTCTGCCCTTTGCACCCCAGTTTTTCTCTGTCTACATGAACACTCCACACCATTGACTTCCTCCACCTATACTGGGAGGCAGTGGTGCTTATGAGCAGAGAGCCTCAGAACAATGGGGTTTCTCCACCCCATCCCACCCCACCTCCAGCACACATAAACATAAAGTAGTGAGCCCACAGCACCTTTTTCTCTCATCTAAGGATCTAGAACAGTAATGCTACCCAATTTATAAAACTCTTCTATGTCATAAAAAGCCCTAGATTAATGCTCAGAATGAGTTACATGTATTTGACATTACAGTCATATCTCTCCCCATCAATTGACTACTCCCTACTCTTTGGGTTGCAATTCATTTGGGGAAATTACCAGCCACTGAGCTATATCTCCAGCCTGGAACCGTACTCAAGCGCCACTTTCTTCCTGAAGTAGAGCCAGATGCACTGAGTGAAGTAGAACCTTCCTCCTTGGGGCTCATCCACTAAGTCAGGGGTCAGCACACAGTGGCCCGCTCCCAGATCTGTCGTCCTACCTGGTTTTACACAGCCCATAAGCTAAGAATAGTTTATGTGTTTAAATGAACAAAAGTAACATCCCATCATCATGGTGTGGTGGCCATGGACCCATCATCTCAGCTACTCAGGGGGCTGACAAAGAGGATACCCCTTTCATAGCTCTCCTGATCTACATAGTGAGGCCCAGGCCAGCCTTAGGAACTCCACGATACTCTCTTAAACTAAAAAGTTACACAAGAGAGGTGTTAAGAATAAGTAACTATTGAATGCTTAGCCAAAAATGGAACGTCTATGCCATCCCCTTCACAACTCGGAGAACATCGGAATAGAGAGCATGGAAAGAATGTAAAAGCCAGAGGAATAAGTGAGGAATAGAACACTGAATTCCAGCCATGATGTGGCTGCTGTACTCTTGAACTCACAGCAGCCGTGATTACCTGCACAGGACTGGGCCCCTCAACACTCTGCCATGGAAGAGAAAGAAGCTCCTAGGACTCCACACTCCCCTGAGGACTTATATGCAGTCGGTTTGTGATGTGGAGGGAGACACATTTTCTTCAGTAGTTAGCTATTAGTAAGGGTCGCCTGCTCCTACAAGCACACTTGCACCCATGTGCCTATAAATACTCTAATAAACTCGTTGGGCCACACACACAAGAAATAATAAAAGACAGCAGAGGAGAAACAATAGAAAAAGAATGGTATCTGTGGGACCGGCCAAGAGCAGGTAATGGGATGAATGCGGCTGAAACATTACCTCCAAGTATGAAAGTGTCACAGTAGACTCCATTATCTATAATTAATATATGTCACTAAATGTTTTTAAAGAGAAGGCTGTGGCACAGCATTTGCTCAGGATTCATGAAGTTCTAGGTTTACTCCCTGGTGCTGGGGGAGTAAATACGGTGCTGGTGCTCCGTATTATGCAAAAAGTATATACAATGCAAATATTGGACTTTCACCCTCAGCTCCCCCAGAACATGGCAACACTCGCTTGTGTGGTATCTGCAGCTGCCTATTGGTGCAGGGGCAGATCCCACAGCCCACAAAGCTGAGACTCATTTGCATTTGGACCTTTCCTGGAAGAGTTTGTTTATCCCTGAATGCACCTGTAGCTTTTGAAGAGACAGTATGTTGGTGGCTAATCTTGATTATCAATTTGACAACACCTAGAATCAACTAAAACCCAAACATCTGAGCACACCTGTGAGGGATTCCCCCCCCCTTCTGCTTTGTTTTTTTGATACAAAGTTTATCTGTGTATGCTTGGCTGTCCTGTAACTCACACTGTAGATCAGGGTGGCCTTGAACTCACAGAGATTTGCCTGCCTCTGCCTCCCAAGTGCTGGGATCAAAGGCATGTGCCACCCCACCAGTGAGGTATTTTCTTGATTGGATCATTTGAGGTGAGAAGATCTGCCCTAAATTTTGTCAGCTCATTGTGAAAGGACATGGAAGAAGGATGCTTTTGCTTTTTGCCTGCTTGTTCTTGTCCTAGCTGGCAAATCTATCTGCCTTGTTGCTGGGCCATTCCTTTGATGGTGTTAGAATCTACTTCTTCATGATTCCAAGATAGACTGAAGACCAGCAGCTGTTTAGGAATTCCTTAGGACTGCTGAGACATCCAGGTTCATAAACTGAACAACTTACAGATTCTTGGCCTTCTTGTTGGGAGACAGCCATTGTTAGACTACCCAGACCACAACCTTATAATCCCCCCTCCCCTGTGTGTGTGTGTGGGGTGTGTGTGTGTGTGTGTGTTTGTGTGTGTGTGGTGTGTGTGTGTGTGTGTGTGTGTGTGTGTTTATATTTCTATACAATCATTCGTTCTACCAGTTCTGTTCCTTTAGAGAACCTTGACCAATACAGTGGTTCTTCCTGGGAGCAGCAGACAGGTCAGTCCACAGCAGAGCTGAACAGCTGCTGTCAACCCAGCGCTGTGTTAGCACACTGTGGAAGGGTGAATGCAAAGCCACCACCGACCTGGTTCTCCTTTCTCCCCACGAATTCCATCCTTCCCTGGGCCACCGGGATGTCCTGGTTCTCCTAGGTAGGTGGAAGGGAAGAAAGCAGACAAGAGTTGAGATTCCAATTCCAATTTCCTGACTTTGAGTCTCCAGGGGCAATTGATATGGGGAGTCCTGGGGTGCCCCAGCCCACCTCTTTTTCCACCAGTGCAGGTGGAGGTAGCAACAGATAGTGAGTATCCAGGGTGTTGAGTCATGTAGAGGATGAGCAGGTTATGAAATGGGTTGGTGACTTCCTGAGCATCCAGCTGTGGGGTGCCCAAGAAGCATAAAACAAAGCAAACTAAAACACTGAGGGCCATGCTGTAAGCTGTCTTAAGAGGAGGACTTGGAAGTGTTCTGAATGTGGAAGGTGCTAGATGTATCTCTCTGATCTCTTTCCACCATCCATTCAAAGAGTGGAGCAGAAGGCTCAAGGAAACATCAGAGAACTCAGTGATATGACTATTGGGGAAGGAAAGGCATTGTAGACAGGAGGTGAATGCCACTGAACAAGCTGTGATGGGACACTAGCATTCTGCTAGTCATACACTAGTCCTAAGTCTGGGAGTAGACTACCAAGTCCCACCTTTGCCTGGTGTTGTATGCAAGGTGAACTGGCCAGAGTATGGTAACAGAAGAGCTCAAAAGGCCACAGTTTACTCCAGGTTCTGTCTCACTCAAATCAGTCAAGACCCCAAAACTTCAACGCTACGATTCTAGTTGTGTGGTGACAAGCAGCTGGAACAGCCTTCATCTCTCAGGACTGGAGAGTGACACAGGCTGATTTGCATCCATCATAATGCCTGGTGTTGTCCCAAGCAATCCCTTGGTCCCATTGAACCACCAAGTGGGAGGTATCCCCAAACCAGCCTCCTCTCCATTATCACCCACTCCTTATCTGCACCACCCTGAAGCCTGAGTCTTCCTACCCAAACTTCTCTTTCTCCCTGCTTAGTTCCCAGTTCTTGTATTCTGTAGCATGATCTCAAAGCTTTTATGATCCATACAGGCCAGAACATGAACAATGACTTGAACAACTGTGAATGCATGTCACGGGCACTGTACTATGTGTTGATTATATAAAACATACAGCACATCTTCAGAGGACCAGGTAAAGAAGCAGCAGATTTTCCTGTCAGGCAGCGTGGGTTAACATCATTCTCCTAAGAAATAGCACATAGAGTAGAACATACATATGAACTGAATGGAAAAATAGAGAAATAGATACTTTTGTTTTTGTTGTTTGTTTGCTGTTTTTGAGGCAGGGTCTCTCTATTATGTAGCTCTAACTGTCCTGGAACTCAATATATAGACCATGCTATCCTTGAACTCACAGAGATCCACCTGCTCTTGCCTCCTGAGTGCTAGGATTAAAGGCATTAAATGCTACCATACCCGACCCAGAAACCATGTGCTTTTAAGAAGTCTGTTTAGAAAGAGTTAGGGAGGTAGCTCAATGGCAAAGAGAAAGAATGAGGACCTGAGTTCAAATCCCTAGCACCCATGTAAAAAGCCAAGCATGGCTGTCTGAGCCTGGAGGGGGGACTAGAGGCATGGGGTCAGGGGGAACAGCGGGATCCTGAGGATTTGCTAGACAGACAACTTGGTCAACATGGTCAGCTTCAGGTTCTACAAAAGACCCTGCCTCCTGTAAAGCTGAGCAGAATAGAGGATGATAGCTGACAATGAGGTACACACACACACACACACACACACACACACACACACACACACACACTCCATCAGAGAGGAAGAGACAGAAGGAGAAATAGAAAGATTGATTGATTGATGGATGGATGGATGGATTGATTTAGATCCAGGCACAGTGGTACATGCCTATAATCCCAGCACTCAAGAGGTAGAGGCAGGAAGATGAAGAGTTCAAGTTCATCCTTGGGTACATAGCAACTTTGAGGCCAACCTGGGATACATGAGACACTGCCAGTAAAAAAAAAAAAAAAAAAAAAAAAAAAAAAAGAGAGAGAGAGAGAGTTGGGCTGGGGAGGTGACTAGGTGGTTAGAGCACTGCCTGTGCTTCCAGGAGACCCAGGTTTGACTCCGAGAAAACCACGTGGCAGCCCACAACCATCCATAGCTCCAGTCGCAGATGACTCAGTGCCCTCTTCTGGTCTCCATGGGCACTACACACACATGATGCCTAGACATGCTTGCAGACAAAACATCCACATACATAAAAAAATTAAATGGCTAAAAAATGATAAATCTTCTTTAAAGCAGGAGAGCACACCAAGAAAGATGGAGAAAGATTTGCAAAGGCAGAGGTAAGCAAATTTGGCATTACATGTATGAGAGTATTATCTTGATTCCTCTAGTAATCATTTGTCTCTTCATGTGTATGAAATATCTGGTAATAAGCATTAAAACTTCATATATTCAAAAGTAAACATAGCTCCAGACATGGTGGTACATGCCTATGGTCACAGAACTTGAGAGACTATCTGTGACCCTCTCATCAGTCACTTTGCAGCCATCTCGGATATTAGAATGGCTGTTGCACTCTCAAAATGCTTATGGCCACATAACCTTAACTTTAGTTAATAAAATTCCCAACGTGTAAGAGCATTGATGCTGGTAACTTCATTATAGGGAAGTGTAATACTGAATCTGTTTTATTTTTCATGATTATTTATTCCTTACCTTGTTTAGAAATTAAACTTTATCACAGGTTATGTCTGTATAGGGGGAAACAAGATATCAATACTGTTCTGTGCTTTCTTTGGCTTTTGGCATCTGCTGGGGGCCTTCTTTCTCCCTGTGGATGGAGGGATGCCACTGTACTTAGCCATCGGATTGCTCCATTGGCCTCACGATACTAATGATCTGTCACACCATAGTATCCCACTCAAATGCCCTGTGGTTACAGAAACACTTGCTAACAGTCGTGTCCAGTTGATGACAAGTCTGTGAGGCAGGGTGCTGTTGGCCTTGTCCTGCACTCCATTAAGCACCTAGAATAATGGCATGTGGCACAGAGCTGGTCTTTGAGAAGTGTCTGCAGGGCACATGGGTGGGTGAGGGCTCCATGGGCAGCTGGAACAGTACACCAGTAGCAAGTGAGTGGCTGAAGGGACAGAAGAAGGCAGTAAGAAGCTGCAAATGTTCACTACCTGTGTCTCCTTTGTCACCCTTGGCACCATCTCGTCCATCTCTTCCTGGTAGGCCATTGTGACCTGGGTTCCCAGGGATGCCAGAGTGTCCTTGCCGGCAGGTGTCTTGGGAATACACACTCCTTGCACATGTGCCTATAGCCAGCAGGAGCCACCAAATCCTCATGGTCAGATGGCAGGGACTGGACTGAAAGAGGGAAACAGATACTGAAAGATGCCTGGTCACTGGGTGCAGGTATAGTTGCTGGGCATGACCAGGGCCTCTCATCTCTGCAATGGACAGGCCTTGGTCTCTGGGGAGTGACATAGACTTTTCTCTCTGCACTGACAAAGGATTGAACATAAGCCCACATGCCAGATGGTCAGGGCAGGGAAAACAGAAACCAGGCAGCTGACCAAGATGTCACGAACCCTGCCACAGTGGCACATGTCTGTAATTGCAGCACTAGGAAAGCTGAGAAAGAAATTGTTAAGTTCGAGGTCACTCTGAGCTATACAGTGAGACTCTATT